CCTTCATCAGCCTAGGCAAGACTTTTATAAGCAATTAATTAAATAAATGAATTAAAGGCTTAGTTGGAAACAATTCAAAATGATAGAATTTCTCAACTAATTTANAAATTGATTAATTACAATAATCATAAATAATCTTATAAAGTTAAATTCTTGAAAAAAATCAATAATTAATGGATTTGTATGATGAATAAAATTCAAAAAATACTGATAATAAATTACAAGACCTTTAAACTTAAGTAAATATACTTTTATAACAACTTGAAAAATAAAAAGAGTAATATTAAGAATTACTTGAAATTTAGTCATCAGCATTAACACCAAATGGTTAAAAAGAAGAGATTTTATAAAAAACTAAGTTAATACATTAACAAGAAGAAGAAATATAACATTTATAGAATTAAATAGAATAAAATTTACCATAAACAATTGGAAAACTGTAGGAAGTCTAGTTAAAATTAAATTATGCTGAGGAAGAAGTTAATTTATGGAAAAATAAATATTAAATGCTTTTTAATGAGAGACCTGTTGTTGCATAAACATAAATAGATGAAGAAGCTATCAAATAATTGACTTAAGAATAAGCACAATTAGCCTTGTAATAATTACTAAAAAAGTAATAAGAGTATTTTTAGTAAGAAGAGGCATCATAATTAGCAATTATTTAATTATAAAATTAATAATAGTAATTATTAGATGAAAGGGATAGTATTTTAAGAGAAAGAGATTTATTAACTGAAAAAGATTAGATTTCGTAATAATAAAACGATTCATAAAAGACCTAAATAGAAGAACTGAAAAACTAAGACTTAAAATAAAGATAATTAATTATAGATTTAAAAAATGAATTAGAATAAGAAAATGGAGTGTTTTGGAAGATTGAATATTAAAAATTAGCAAATAAACATGGGGAAGATATTCCAATATAATTTCCAAGTTAAAAATAAGTAGTTCCTTTGAATATTTAAAAAGATGAAGGAAATTAAACAGAAGTAATTTAAGATCTTAAGAAATAAAATGAATTATTGTAGACTTAATTAGACGAATAAAATGAATTATAAAAAGAAAATGATGAATTAAAGGCAAATAAATTAGATCTTTAAGATTAATTATTATAATTGTAAAAATAATTGTAAGATTTGTTATCTGAGTAAATTCCAAAACCAATGGCATCATCATAATCTATTCAATTTTAAACTGATCCATAAAAAGCTTTATAGATTAGTTAATTATAATAAACCAATTAAGCGCTTAATCAATAAATAGAAGAATTATAATAATAGAGAAAAGATGATCTATAAAAGTTTTAAGACATGATTGGTAATGGAATAAATGAATAATAAGTTGTTAGTTTGATGTCTGAAAAATAATAATTATAATCTGATTTGAGAATAATACAAAATAAATTAGATTAAGTTTAATAAGAATAATTAGCTTTATAAAGTCAATTAACTTAAAAAACTAAATAGTTAATTGATATCCACGATGATATTAAATAAGATGAATTAATGTAGCAATAATAATTATTATCTAATGAAAATGAATTACTTAAAAAGTAATTAGAAAAAGCTAAAACTTAATATTAAGAGCTTTTAGAATTATAATCATAAAACTTAACTCCTAATGGATTATAAGAGAAATTATTGTAACAAACTAAATAAATCCATGATTTAGAAGAATTAAATCATATTTAACAACATTAAATAGAAACAGAAATTCCTTAATTAGTTGGATAAGTTGCAGAGACTAAATAAAAATTGAAAGATGCTATTACAGATGCATAATTATGGAATGATAAATATCATTAACTATTAGGGGATCATTAATAAGCATCAATCTAATAAATTTAAAGCTTAGAGTAGCAATTAAATGAAGCACAACTCAACGCCTAAAGGGAAAAGGAAAATTATAATCATTTATTATAAGAATAATATTCATCATTATCTCCTTCATCAGCCTAGGCAAGACTTTTATAAGCAATTAATTAAATAAATGAATTAAAGGCTTAGTTGGAAACAATTCAAAATGATAGAATTTCTCAACTAATTTAATAAGAGCCTTCTTAAGCTGTTGATAAACTTTAAGAAGATCTACTTAATTATTAAAAATAAGTTGAAATGTAAGATAAATTAAATTAAATTTAATAATAACAAATAGAGTTTTTAAAAACTTAACTTTAATAGAGAGAGTAAAAATAATAATAGAAACAAGATTAAGATGATTAAGACACTTAACAATCACTAAATGATTAGAACATTATTCTTAAAGCATAACTTTCATAAAAATAAAAAGAATTAGACAATCTATAGGAAATTTTGATTGAAAGACAATAATTTAATGATGAATAAAAACAAGAATAAACTAAAGCAGAATTTTGGTAGAAATAATATACAGATTTGATGTATAAATAGACTCCTTAAGATTAATAAAAGTAAATACTGAATTAAAAAGAATAATAATTAGATTAAGAGATTCAATAACCCTAATCTTCAAATGATAAATTGTAAGAATAAATAAATAATTTAAAAAATGAACGAGCTTCTCTTTAATAGTAATTAATTCAAGTATAAGGAAAGTTGAGCATAGCTTCTGTAGATCTGGAAAATCAAGAATTACATTAATAAGCAAACGAAAGTTAAGGATAAATTCAGAAATTAAATAAGGAAATAGATGAACTAAAATAAAGAAATTAAATGTATTAATTTTTTATATATAATAGTGTTATTGAATAAATGAAATCAGCATTAAGCGGAGATGATTAAAGACAAAAAATTGCTTAGCTGATAGAAGAAAACAATTAGTTAAGTTTGAATAATTCAAAATTAATTATAGATCTAGATGTTAATCAAAAAGAATTATTGAAATAATAATCCTAAAATTTAGCTTTGAATGAAAAGATTAAAGATCTCTCTGATCCTTCTGTGACAGAAAACGCAAAGTTGAGAGTTTCAGATTTATAAAAATAAATTGATTTGATTGGGTAGTAAGTAGATTTTTGGAAATAAAAATACTAATAAGTTTTAAATGAATACAGTTAATAGTTATCACCAACAAGTGTATAAAGAAAAATGATTGAACAAGCGCAATATATACATTAGTAAGAAGAGGCATTATTGATGTTGCAATAAACAACAGATTAAACAAAATTAGAGAATGAAAATTAAATTAATTAACTTAAGGTTGAAAATAAGATTTTAAATGATGAAAATATTAATTTGAAAAAGAAAATTTAAGATTAAGACAATTAATTACAATAACTATCAAGATAATATCTCTAATCTTAAGATTAATAAGATAAATAAGTCTAGTTTTGGAAAGATAAATACTAAGAAACACTTTAAATATTACACAAAGACCCATAAAAAGTATAAGAAATTATTTAGTAATAAGAAGAAGCTGCTGAAAACTTATAAACAGATAAAGATTGGCAGCCAATATTAAAATAATAAGATTTGAGCTCAGAAATAATTGATAAATTAAGAAGTGAAAATTAAACATTTTAGGGAGAAGTAACATTTTACAAAAAGAGAGTTTTCGAGCTTGAACAATAATAGTAAAAACCAGATCCAAGTTAACAAGATACAATTTAATCTTAATAATATTAAATTAATTAACTCGACAGAGATTTGTAAAAAGCTCTTCAAACCGCTACTTATTGGGAATAAAAATATAATGATGTTGTTTAGTAAAATATTAACAGAGAGGTGGGATAAAGAGGAGATGCTTAAAATACAGCAAGTTATTGGAGATAAAAGTTTGATTAAGCAGAATAAAGTAGATAACAGCTTATGCTTGTTATTTAAGAAAAAGAAGAATAAATAGAATAACATATGCAATCTTTTTAATCAATTCTTAAAGATGAATTAAAAGAAGAGCTAACTAAAATTAGAAACCAAGAGAGATAGAAAATTGAATTATAACTTTAACAAAATTAACCATTTAATGAATCCAATTTAATTTAAAAGCTAAAAGAATAACATGAGTACGAAAAATAATAATTAATATAAGAATTTTTAAGGAGAATAGATTAGCTGTTATAAAGTAATGTCTAAAAATATCCAGAAGGAGAAAATTGGAAGGAACTAATTTTAAGGTATGAAAAATAAAGACAAAATGAACTTTATGAATTAAGATAACATTTAGAGATACTCTAAAGATCTTAAATTTCAACTAAAGATATAGAATTTTATGCTGAAAGGAGAGCATATGAAAACGCTATAAATGAATTAAAAAATAGAATTTAATAAGATGATCCTTAAGAGTTATATGACACTATTGAATACTAAAGAAAGGTTATTTTAGAATTAGAAGATTAAATAGCTTTCTTATAAAATGAAAGAACCAATCTTGAAATGCATATAATGTAACTTAATTAATAAATTGATCAATTAAAAGATAATATATCTCGATATTAAATGTAATCAGATAATAGAAAAAGACAAAGAGCAGAAGTCTTAGAGGCTATTGATGAAATGAAACGAGAAAGAGCTCGTGAGAGAGAATCTTATAAATCTCCTCATAGATAGATGAGATAGAGTTAGAATAGATCTTCATGGGATAGATATCCTAAAGATTATTTAAAATCTTCCAACATTTAATAACCCTCATAATTCCAAGAACACAGCTCTCCTATGTAAAGAATACCATTCTAACAATCTTAATTTATATCACCTCAATAAGAAAACAGAGATATAGTATTAAAGTTATAAGAATTAGAGGAAATTAAACACAAATATCAAAATGCATTAAACAATATTTTGTAGTTAGAGGCTTAAGTTATTGAGAAACTACAATAGGATGATATTTAGATTGAATGAAAAATTAATAACAAGAATATTATTTACTTATAAAATTTATATATATTTTCAGAAAATTTATCTATTCTTAGATGATTTATTAATTTTTTAGTTTTAAATTTATATTTACTTTAAAATATGAAGAAAATGGATTAATCCAAATATATACTAAAATTAAGCCTTAAATTATTCAATTTTTGCTGATTTTAATTTATTTTTTATAATCACTCATAATGGGATATTGTATTTTTTATCTAATTCAACATTATAAAGTTTTCTTTAAAATCGATATTTCTCAAATGTGTATGCTCCATAAAGCACAAATGCTGGAGCTAGCATGAAGACTCCATAAAATCCTTTTTTATTTTTCAGATTTGTTTTGAAATAACAAAATCCTAATCCTCCGATTGCTGATATTTCAATTATTCCAGCCTATTTTAAAGTTATAAAAATTACGTTTCTTACTACTTTTCTATTTTCCTCTTATATATATTCATAATCAATTTATGTTAAATCTGGATGGAAAAGGACTTTTTCATAAATAGATAAATCCTTACTGTTTTTAATATTATCATTATAAAGCTTCCTTTAAAATTTGAAATTATAAATACTTATAAACCCTATAAGAAGACAATTTTTCTGTAGTTAATTCTTTATTATATTTTAACTTTGTATAAACTAACAAATGAGATTAAAAATCAGGCTTAGTCCAAAGTTTTGCTTTTTAAGCTTCAAACTTTAAAACATCTTTATAGTAAAGTTTATCATCTTCATCAATTTCATAATTAGCTTCCTATTCTATTATATCAGTCAAGGATATTTTATCATCTTGATGTTTTTCATTCTACTCTTAATTAACATTGTTATTATTCTCTTTTCCTGTAACCCTTTCGAGAAGTCTTCTCATCTTTGAATTATAATTCTTAAATTATTAATGTAAATTTTTACTCAATTAAATTTTATAAAATAGTTTCTATTATACAAAAATCAAATAAGAATTATTTTATTAACTTTAAACTAATTCTACAACATGTGATTAAATATACTAAATTCTTGTGTAATATTTCTATAAATAACATCATGAAATGAATCAACTCAAAATGATGTAATTAGTTAAGTATTTATTTAATATATGCTGATATATTTCGCTAATGTATTGAGAATAAAATACATTTGAATCTCTTTTATCTTGATCTTAAATTTATGAAGCAAATATAATAAATTTAAGATGGTCCAATTACTTGGCTTGATTAATATTTATTATAAAATTTCAAAGTAACCAAAAAATCACCTTGTGATTTACTAACGTTATGGAGAATTGATAAGGGATTTTAAATAGTTTTTAATTAATTACTGATATTTTTAGAATTGTGATTTCTTTTAATACTCTATAATCAACTTCTGAAATTAGGAAATTCATTTTCTACTTCATAGATATTATTTGATAACAACTTATTTCATGAAAAATATTTTTTAGGAATTTTGAGCCCTTAAAAATTTAACTAGTAGAGATCTTTAGTTCAAAATTTAATAAAATGATTATAATAGGAATTCATCAATAATATTTCTCATAAAATATGCATATTTTCAAAATAAAATTATATTTTGAATGATTAATTAAAAATAAAGGTAAAAGTATTGAAAATTAAAAAATAAAGGATTATATTTTTTGAGTCGAATTTCTTCTTAGTTTTATCTATCATTAATCTTTTAATATCATTAAATTAATTTAAATATTCAATCTATCATTTTTTTTTATAATTTATTTCTTTGTTTCGAGAAACTTTATCAATTTTAATTTTCCTGTTCAATCTTCTTCTATGAGATTTCTTTGTTTTTAATCTAAATAATCAATCCAGATTATACTTTTCTAGTAGAGAAGGTTAGGCTCTTTAAATTTAAATATTAAGATAATCTATCGTTTTTATTCACAATTTTATGCGAAGGTTTATATAACGTTCACTAAATGAAGATAAATCAATCATAATAAATATTTTAAATAAAATTGAAAATCTTTTTAATAAAATTAAAGTTTTTAATTCATTTATATCAAATCAAAAAATAAATTGATTATCAAAAAAATAATAAAAACAACTTAGAATATTTAAAATGCAATAATAATATTATTATTTTCAATAAAAAAGAAATTATGATGCTAAATATTATTAAGTTATAAATTTTAATTGTTCTATTAAATTCAATTAATTAAGGACCAGAAAATTAATAATTCATCAGCTCCTAATGAACATAATTAGGTTTGATCGGTTGAAGTTGCAATCCTTAGAATTTTTTCTTAATGTCTATTCATAACAATATTACCGTTGTAGCATTTATTTCCAGCACAATAAAGCAACTAAGTATTTGTACTTACAATTTAAGTAATTGCAAAATCAGCATTTAATCGATATGGATTGTATTCTGTTTCAGTATTCCATATTGTTATTTTTTAATCTAGGCCACCAGCACATAAATAGTTCTATTTTCTTTTATCCCAAGCCAGAGCTCTACCATCTTAATTGTATTATGCAATTAGTATTTATGGTTTACGTATATCATAGATACATACTTTGTTTAGAGTTCCTGCAGCTAATAAATTATCATTTAAACTGACAGAATAGATATCCACCAATGTCCCGATTCGATAAATATATTTATTTTATCGGAGATCAATGTATAGAATACCATTATTAACTGTAGCACAACACAAAATACAATCATTAAAACAAATCATTCTTGTAATGTCATTCAGTTAATAAGTTTACAATACTTATTTCTAATCAGAATCAATAACAATAAGATCTCCATTCGAAGTACTATAAACTATTAGTTCTCCTTGAGAGCATAAACTCGTTAATATTCCATCTTCTAATTAAGTTATTAATTATGTAATTCCTGTTTTAAAATTACGAGCAAACAAGTTCTCTTTCAATCCTAAGAATATGATTTCTTAAGATGACCAATCTAATAACTGATATTCAGAGTTTTATGTAACATTAGGGGCATCCAATAGTTTGAGCGGTTAAATTTCTTTAAATTATTTCTTGTTTTTTGATGGTAAATTTGTTTAATTCAATAATAACTATCCATAGACAGTTTCTGGTTGATCATATAATAACAAATTATTAACTTTTTTAATCCCTCTTTCACTAGAATTTAAATAATAATTTTTCATTCAACAATTTGAAAATTTTTCTATTATAAAATTAATTAATAATTAGTCAATAAAACTCCTTTTAAGTTGTGATTTTATAATGAATTAATAATAAAATATTTTTACAACCTTTGCCTTATTTCTTGAATTAATGAACTAGCCATGTATCTTTGAAATTTTAATTTCTAGGAATTTGTGATTATCTTAATATATCAATATTTTTAATCTTTTAAAAATAATAAAGGGCTTAATATTCTTCTCAAATAATAATTTGATAATTCTATATATTCAGGACTTCATTTTAAAAGATGTTCTTATTTTTAATAACATTTTAATATATTTAATATATTATTTATTTGATCAAAAACTTAATAAATATTCTGTATCAACTCCCCAAATTGGTTATCTCTATTTTTAACAACTATTATTGTTGCTTAAGGATAGTTCAGTTGATGCTTTGCTAATTGGAGAATCAATTGAAATTTTTTATTCTAAATGTTATTTAAGTATTTACAATTTCTTATAGCACTTGATGCTCTTTTATGCATCTATTTTAGAATTTTATTGCATTTAGGATTTTCAGAATCTTTAAGAATTTCTTTTACTTTGACAAACGAAGTTAAGTCTCTTGATTTATAACTTATCAACAAATCAACATTGAGAAGATTTTTTCTATACCAATTATCCATTTCTACACAAGAAAATGGTCCTTAAAATTTTTATAATTAATACCTTAAATATTATTACAATTGTCTAGATAGTACCAATTTCGGATGATTAAAGATTAAAAATGAGAATATTTTGAAAAAGAAAATGGACTCATGTTTGTTTTTACTACTGGCCATTCTTAAGAGATATTTATATTCTAAATACTTTAAGGGAAAAAAGTTCTAATTTTTCCTCTAGAACTCTTTGATTATACAGACCTTAATAATTATGCTGAAAGTTAAGGGGTGTTGCTTTAGCTCAGAGCTGACATAAAAATCAGTCCATTTTCAGTCACTAAAATTAAATTACTCTTATTTACTTTGAGAAATGTCAGTGACTATTGGAGATTATTATTCAATAGTAAAGTATTCAGGATACTCGTTTAGTAAGTTTATTGGTATTAAAGAAACAACGTTCTCGTAACCAAGTAATTCTAAAGTTTCTTTCTTGTAATTCATTTTTTATATATATATAAATATATTTATACATTTTATTTTTTTTTATTTTGTTATAATTATCAATAAAATAAATTATTATTTTGATTGAGAAATCTTTATTGATTGTTCTTTTAAAGTATATTTATTATACTAAATAAATAAATAACTTTTTAAAATACATTTTTAATGAAAAATATAGAGTCAATAATCTTCTATACAAAATATGTTTTGTTAGAGCTACAAAAAGATAAATCAATCTATGTTTAAATTGAGTATATTTTATTTAAATTCAGCATAAAAAACTAGTAATAATTCAATTAATTAAATATATCAATTTCAATCTATAATGTGCTACTGAGAAATATTATTTTAAAGTATTACTCTTAAAAATTGATAAACCTCGATTACAAATAGATGTTCTTTTTTATAATTTTTGGGTTTCAAAATTTTTTCAACTCTCCAAAACACTTGATTAATAAAAATACTTTATATTGATAAGAGTCTTTAATAAAATAAATAAATATTTAGATAACCATATTTTAAATATAGTTTTTTTTTTGACTTTAATAATTTTAATTTATTTTCTGTTTGATTGCCTTCTCTTTTTTAAAAAGTAAATATATTTTAAATTTAGGAAGCTTATTAATCAGATAATAAGTAAATAAGTTTATTTATTTCAATAAGTTAAATAAATGAAGAAAAATTAATTTTTATTTATTAATGTTTTGGATTATTAAGTATTCTTTACTATTTTTAATTATGTATATATCTGGAATTAAATAGATGCGGAATAACTTTAATTAGAGATAGAGAATTAGCTGAAAATGAACTGGAATACTATAAATAAATGAATTATGGATTATGGACAATTCTAATTCCTTTTCTGTAATTAAATAATTTAATTTAGAACTTTATTGTTACCTATTTTTTCTTAAAAAAGAAGAAATAAGGATGAATAACCAATTTCAGAGAATTAAAATGGTAAGAAAGAAGAATTGGAATAATCAGATATAAGCCAAAATAAGAATTAAGATCATAAAATAATAAAAAAGGAAGAATTTGTTTAAACGGAATTTGGCACAGATTATAATTATGAGATGCTTACATAAGATAATAATAAAGGAGAAATAAATGAAAGAGGTTAAGATCAAATTTATACAGATTTCAATTAGAATATTTTAACAGATAATTTTGAGGAGAATGAAAAATAATAAATAGAAAATAGTTAAGATTTACTTTTCCAATAAAAAAGTGAATAAATGATCATAGATGATAAACAAAATCATGATCTAGCTTTAAATAATTTAAGCGACATATCTCATAATAACATTCGTTCATGCAATGACACAGAAAGAGAATCCATTAATCTAACAACTAATTCGAAGATCTTTCATACTTATTCTAATAGTTATTAACTGAAAGATTTGAATTAAAGTTAAGAATAGAATTAAGAAAAATTATTCAAGATTTCAAAAATATTAGAAATTATAGATGCTGTGCCAATAATTGTTTTGAAGAAATATGAAGAATTTGTTACTAATAACAGAAGAGAAAGAAGAAATTTAATTTATAAAGATTTAGATAGTTTTACAGATTTAGATGCACAGAGTTATATTAAATTGCTAAAAAATTTATTCAGATTTCATGATAACTTGATTAGAAAAGGATAAAAATATTACATTCTAAAAAATAAAATGGATTATAAACATTTTATCAAATCATTTAATAAATATTTATTAGATCCATTAGCTTCAAATGAAATTTTAAGTCATTAAAGGTTTGCTCTTTAATAACTAAAATTTTCATTACAAAATAATTAAGTGTTATTACAATATTAAGTTTTAGAAATCTATTAAATTCTTATTAATTTAATGACTAACCCTAATGAAATCCTTAACAAAGTGTTTTCTTAATTTAATAATTAGTCAGAATCACTATATTTAAATTCAATCCTATAATATTATTTGGAAGATTATATATTTTATTATAAAAAAGTAGAAGATGAAGATTTCTAAAGATATTTAAGTAAATATTGTTTATATAAATAGAAATCTACCATAACTGTAATGAAATTATCAATATGTAATATAGTCTTGATGAAAAGATGAATTAATATATTTTTTAAAAATAAAGACTTTTAAATTCTAATTGAGATGAATGATTATAATATATTGCTTCTATCAATCTAAATTTATACTAAATCCAAAGAAACTTAAATAAAATTGGATTTATTCTTATGAATATAAAATCTATAAGTAGGGGGGGTAGATAAACATAAATTGTATAAAAATGTAAATGATTCTAAAATCTCTAATACTTTTTTTTAGAATAAAGATAGTCATTTATTATAGTTTTTTGAAATTTAATATTTTCTTTTTAACTAAATATAATGATTTTTAATATATTATCATTCATAGCAATACTTTAAGGAGCTATACAAATTAGTGATTTATCTTATATTTTCTACCAATCCAATAAGATACAGCTAACTTTACATGATTTTGAAACCCTCAAACTCATCTTATCATTTCCATGGTAAAGAAACCATATTATTTTAAAGGATTATCAAACCTATTTGGGGATTTTGCTCTGATATTTTTCCCATCGCAAAATATAAAAGAAAACCTTATTTGTTTATTTTTGCGATAACTTGTTTTTTATTAGAAACAATAATGGCAATATGCGATGTAGATCGTAAAACGGCATTCGTTATTATATTTCTAATTCAGTTGTGCATAGTATTTTGCAATGTGATTGCTGAAGCTATGCTTGTTGAATAAAGTCATGAAATTAATACAAGTAGGAATGTAGCATTATTTTTTGGAATGAGAGCAGTTGGAGGATATCTCTATACATACATAGCATTCAATTTTCCAATTCATAGAAATAGTATAATATCTAGATTTATAAGATTTTTAGGTGTTATCTTTATTTCCATTATTCATTGCAATTTTATCACTCTTCATTCCTGAATAACAAATGGTAGATAAGATAAAAATTAAGCAATTAAGGGTAAATTTAAAAAAGTTCATTTTGGATCCAGTTATATATAGGCCATTGCTCTTTATATTTTTTTTTATGGCCACACCTTCTCCAGCAACTTCAATGTTTTATTTTTACATAAATCAACTAAAGTTAAATGATGAATTTTTTATAACTCTCAGGTACACTTATAGTTTTTGTACAATTATGGCAGTTACAGTATATTATCTGTTTAGAAAGTATCCTTTTGGACAATTTTTATCAGTATCGAATATGTTATATTTCTTTGCTTCTTTCTTATCATTACTATTAGTTACAAGAATAAATATTTAATATAATATTCCAGACTATTAATTTTGTATGTGGGATAATATTTTAATGCAAACCCTATAAGAAATCAATACACTTCCAGTTCTTGTTTTGGGAGCAAAGATGTGTCCATAAAATTTAGAAGGTAGATTAAATTATTGAAATATTAGGGACTGTATACAGTTTATTAACAGGAACAATGAATTTGGGAAATACAATATCGAAATAAATAGGAATAGTTTTGACTTTCTATTTGGGAATAACAAATTAGAATTTTACACATCTATGGCTTTTGATTTTGATTTGTACAGTGGGATCTTTATTACCAATGCCATTTATTGGGGCTGTTAATGAATAAGAAGTAGATCAAAAAAAGAAAAGTTTAGCTAAGGAAGATATTCATATAAAAGTAGAATGATTAATAAAAAATAATATTAAAATATGTTGTATATAATATAAATATAATTGGTGTTTATAATTTAAATAAAGTTAGATCATTTAGATTTTTTAATATTTGCAATAGCTTATTCAACGATTTGTATGAGCTCTTCAAATTTATTGGTTTTAGCAATTTCCAATGCTTAAGAGAGATTAATTTAAGATTAAAACAATTAACCTAAATGTTCCCACTCTACTCCATAATTATAATACATAATGCAAATCAGTTTCAGGTATGGTTTTTAATCTTAAATTTAATTGATGAAATGTTATATGGCATTCAATTCATTTAAAGCTTATGTATGTTATCCAGCAGTAGATAAGATAGTTACCAAACTCATACGACTCGATATAATACTAACTGAATCTCTGGGTTCTATTTTTTATTCTAATTCTAAAACATATTTAATAGTCTTAACAGCCACATGATAATTTTATTAGATCTTATATTATTAGGCAATATATTTGAGCAACAATATTTCATATTTCAGATATGTATTTATATCTAAAATCTTTTACATGTTTTTATGAGTTAATAAATCAAAAGCCTTAGATAAAATGAAAGGATCTTCAGAATTCAAATTTTTGATGTAATCATAAAGTAATTCTTCAAATTAAAATGGTAATTATTCCAGAAGAGTTTTTATTGGAAATTCTGATTTGTTTTCTTAAACAAAGACTAAACAAAGCATGATTATTTTTTCTTTAAAGAGGGGATTCTTCAAATTATAAATATGTTAAATGGTCTGCAATAACTTATTTTATTACATTTTTAATGTAAAAGATAAATAATAAGCTCGATCTTTTAAGAGAGTTGATGGCTTAAAGGTAAATCCAAGCATACTTGGTGCCTCATAACGATGCTCATGATGTAATAATATGAACTATTATGATAGTCGGAGTACACATCAGATTCAGATGAGCGATTAGCTTTTATATCAGGTTTTGATGGATCAGCAGGAATAGGTCTGATTACAAATACAATTGCATATTTATGGACAGATTCAAGATACTATTTGTAAGCAGCTAAATAATTGGAAACAGGTTGGGAATTATAGAAATAGGAACCTGGGGTACCTACATGGGTGCAATATGCAAAAGCTAATTTGCAAGGACAAGTGATAGGTTATGATCCTTTGTTGATTTCACATAGTATTATTATTTAATGATATCAAGAGCTCAAAATATCAAGGAGAAATTCTTTGTAAGTAACAGAATTTAGAGCTATAAATGAAAATTTGATAGATTTGATTTGGACAAATAAGCCATAAGATTCAATAGCTGAAGTAATGATTCATGATTTAGAGTATCACTAATATCCCACAAGTCAAAAGATTTCATAAATCTTTGAAAGTTTGAAATAGAACGAAGCAAATTCTATTTTAATTTCTAAATTAGATTAAATAGCATGGGTATTAAATTTAAGAGGAACAGATATTAAATTTAATCCTCTTTTTAAGAGCTATTTATATCTGAGGGATGATAATACAGGAACTTTATATATCAATCCAGCAAAAGTGAATGAATAAGTGAGATAATATTTGACTGAAAATAAAATAGAAATAAAACCAATCTTAGATGTATTTAATGAGAAGTTTATTTAAACAGCAGTGACACCTAGTGAAATAAATGATAGATTAATAGAATAAGTAGAAGATCCAATTAATTTAAATGCTTGTCCAATAGAATTATTAAAAGCAATAAAAAATGAAAGAGAAATTTAAGGATTTAAGGAATCACATATAAGAGATGGAGCAGCATTAGTGCATTATTTAGGATGGTTAGAGAAATAATTATTAGATGGAGTAGAATTAGATGAATTTTAAGCAGCAGAAGTATTGGCTAAATATAGATATAAATAAAATCGAAATATGGGATTATCATTTGATTCAATTTCTAGTAGTGGAGCCAATGCTGCAATAGTACATTATCATCCAACAGAGAATAATAAATCTTAAATAAATCCAAATCATATTTATTTGATTGATTCAGGTGGTTAATATTTAGATGGAACAACTGATGTAACACGAACTTATCATTTTACAAAACCAACTATAGAAGAAAAGAATGCTTATACAAGAGTATTATTAGGTAATTTAGATATAGAAAGATTGAAATGGCCAAAAAAAAGTAAAATTCATGGAGGAGATATTGATGTATTAGCAAGAAGATGGTTATGGGAAGCTAATTTAGATTATGGACATGGAACTGGACATGGTGTTGGCTATTTTTTAAATGTTCATGAAGGACCCCATGCAATCAATAAATATACAACTGAAGTATTTAAACCTGGTATGATTGTATCTAATGGTAATTTATTTCCTTTTATATTTTTTAGAACCTGGCTATTATGAAGAAGGTAAATTTGGTATTAGAATTGAAAATCTTATCCTCTGTGTTCAACTTAATGCTCAATTTTATGGATTCCAAAATCTGACTTATTGTCCTTATGATAGAAACCTAATCAATCTAGATTTAATGAGTCCTAGGGATAAAAATTATGTTGATTAATATCATACTTTGGTTAGAGACACCCTATTACCTTTAATGTAAGAATAAACAGCAAAAGATTGGTTAATAAAAATGACAGAACCTTTATGATAGATAATATTAAACAAAATTACATTGTTCAATTTTATTCTAAAATTTTTTACTGTTTCTTTAATATATTAAGTCATTGTATGTCATCTTTTAAACTTCAAGGATTGTTAACTCCTTTAACTAATAAATTTATTTTATCTTAGAGAACTATTATTATTATTTACTATTGTTCAATTAATTAAATTATTAATTATTAACGATCAAATCTATGGAAAACGAAAGCTACTTTAAGACTGTCACGTCTATTAATTCTAATCGTTCTGAATACCAACTTAGCAAGCCAATCAAATCTAATGATAGGCCTTTAAAAGAATCTGATCTTGCTTTGTATTAAGCTGCCAGAGAGAAATGTGCTAATAAATAAACTGAAAAATTATCAACTCCTCTATATTAAGTAACTTCTTTAATTACAAATGCTGCACCTCTACACAAACCTACTGTAAAGACTACTCAATTTAGCAATTAACCAACTAGCGTATTTGATGTATTTAAATTTTATATCTTTTAGTTTACTGAGAATCGTAAAGAATAGTCATTTAAACCACATTGTATAAAAGTTAATGAGCCTGGAAACAATTCAGATTTAGTTTATAAGTAATAATTAAAAACTTCCAATCTCCCAAGCAGAGAAAATTTGTATCGTAATCCAATTACTAATGGAGATCCGAAGAGTGAATATAATAGAAGCACAAAAACTCCCTTTCCAAAAAATCAAATTAATTTTGTTGGTTGAATTCTATAATAATCTAAAAATATAAAATAGTATTCAAATCTTTATAGAAATAATTATTTAGCAAAAGATAATTAGCTTTATTCTTTAAAAATTTTTTCTTCTCCTTCTCTATAGCCAATTATTAGCCAAATAATTTGGTAGTTGATTTTATCCATTTTCCCTTATTTTTTGTTAACTTTAATATTAAAACATATTTAATTTATCCTAAACTTAAAAGGAGACTAGAATCTTCCCTTTTCTAAAAGAAATAAATTTGAAAAAAGTATGTACCTTACTGACAATTCTAATTATATTTATTTAGTAAGTTAGATTAATTTTCTAAAACAAGTTCATAATTTTCTTTGGCAACTTCCTTTCAATTTATATTTTATTGAACAAGAAATAAATTAATCAGATTATCGATAATTTTTAAATTAAATAAGTGCCTTATTTAAATATCCTATTATATATGTTTATTAAGATAAATTTTTCTTATTTGAAAATCAATTCTTTAAAAAATACATTAGTCTCTAAGTGGGAAGCAAACTTTTATTTAAATCTAATTTTTCTTCCTCTTAAACTAACAATTCTTATTACCTTCATTCTTCATTTTTTCAATTATTTTTAATATCTTTTTAATTTTTACTTAAAAATCTAGGTGAATCCTAATACACAGCCAATAGATAATGCGATTAAAATATTTTGTAATACTTTTTATAATGTAAACAGTTGAACATTGATATTTTATGTAAATTACTATCATTTTATTTTTACTCTTCTTAGATAAATAAAAATAATTTAGAAACTATGAAACATTACTCCTTTCCTATTGTTCATTTTAATAATTTTAAGCACAATCATAAAATCATCATAAAATTATAATCTGCAACAGCAAATATATATCTATATTATAGCTGTTAATTAAAGAATTTCAAATATCATCAAAGGAAGAAAAGTTGTTATGTTCTGCATAATTTGAATGATCTCTAGATTTTTAATGCTCGATCATTTATTATAAACCTCTTTTCATATTTAAGTATTTAAATTCTTGTTAACTTAAACTATATTTTTTTTAAAGATTTAGTATTTGCAGTTTAGCATTAAAATTTGATGAATTGAAAAATTGCTAAAAATTCCACTTATCCATTAATTTTATTATAAATTAATTCATAAATACATAAAATTTTCCGACTTTTCTGAATGTTATGTTTGGAAAAAGCTTACCATTAGTTTGTCAATAATCATTGAATTTTTGTTGTAGTTTAAAAGTTATGTATATTATTCTTTATATTTTGTATATTACTTGGGATTTAATCTTAATTTAATTTATCTTGGATTATCAGCGTTTCATTCTGAAACTTTATGTTTACTAAAATTCATATTCATCAGTAATTCTAAAAGAAGAGAGTAAAAATAAATTGGTTTTATTTGAGTGTAATAACTTTGGCTTGTCTACTGAATTCTGTAAGTAATTAATACTTTGGGAATTAGATTAATTGTATTTGATGATTAATTAATTAAGTATGGTATTTCTAATATTTATGCGTTTATTGGCTTTAGAATCACTTAAAAATAATCAAATGAATTTTATACTTTAAATAATGATTCCTATAAGCCATGAAGATGTTAATTATTTAAATGATATATAATAGATTTTAAATCTTGTTTGGTTCAATTTAAAAGATTTTTTGGGTGCAAGTTGCCTTTTCTTTAAGATTTTTTGTTCAATTAATATTATAATTTTTCATCACTAATGGGTTGTGGAGGCACTAAATCAGCAAAACCTGATAGCAAATTAAACTCTCCTTAAATCAGGGCAAATCAACCAAGTTAGACATTAAATTTAGCTCCAGCTCCAATAATATAAGAGACTGAGAAAATAGAATCAGATTATATTTTTCATGTTCTAGATCCTTTAGTTAGTAATCTAGTTTGAGTAACATTATTAGCTTAAAGAAATTATATAAAAAAAATAGTGTCTAAGAGTAACAATGCTTCTAGAATAGCAAAAGTTTTTAATTGTTAAACTCTTACTATTTCTGAGAAGCAAGAACTAGAGAGAATTATAAATCAATTGATGCAAATTGTAATACTTATTTTCATATAAAAGAAACATTTAAATTTGATTGGCACTTAATCTTATTATTATAATGATAATCGTTTGTATTTAATTTAGGAATTTTGTGATGGTGGAAATCTGCTCGCTTTGTTAGATAAATTTAGTTAATTGTAACAATACACAATGATAGATGTGTTTTGTCAAATTATGGCAGGATTACAATATTTACACAATTAAGGCATAGTCCATGGGTATTATTTGAATTTTATAAATTAGGAATATCTAATTGGATAGTATAGTTTTTACTAATAAATTGATGGAGAATGTAAAGCTTATAGATTTTGGTATTCCAAATTCTATGAAAATTACATGTATGTCATGGAAACCCAGTAATAGTATTTAGGAAATATCTTTTAAACCGCCTGAATCTGTTAAATTAACAACAATTAATGCACCTTTAACTTAGAAGGCAGATATATGGTCAAGTGGATGTTTGCTGTATTTCTTCTTAACATCTCATATGCCATTCTAAGGTCGTGATGTCTAGGCTATCAAAACAGCTATATAAAGAGGTGTAGTTAATTTTGATGGTTCAGAATGGGCTAATATTAATCCAGATATGAAGCAATTAGTATCTAAAATGCTTAGTTCTAACCCTCAATAAAGACCTACAGCTACAGAAGTCATCAATCATCCAATATTTTTAAATAGAACTCGAATTATGACTAAACCTAATAAATAATTATCAAAACATATGAAAGATTTTAAAGTATGAAAATTCTAATAAATTAGTAATAATCTCAAATGCAAATAGCTATGTTAAATTATATTGCAGAAAATATGATGTCTGAATAAGATAAGAAAAAGTTAATGGATGAATTCTAAAAGTTTGACTTAAATAAAGATGGATAGTTAACTAAAGAAGAATTGTTAAAGGTATACAGTACAATGTTTACTACTGAATAAGCAGCTTAAGAAGTTGAAACTATCTTTAAAAAAATAGATTAAAATTGTAGTGGTAGAATTGATTATTAAGGTAGAAGTTTTAATTTATAATAATAGAATTTATTATTGCGACTATAGATTAAAAGAAATATTTTAATAGAGAAAAGTTATTGATGCTCTTTTAACAAATTGATAGAGATCATAGTGGATAGCTAAGCAAATAGGAAGTTAAGAAACTTTTAAGGGATATGTAGATACCTAAAGAAAAATTAGAAAATCTTTAAAAGTAATTAGATTAAAATGGTGATGGTTAAATTACTTAAGAAGAATTTCTATAGATAATGCTTTAGTTATCTTGAAATAAATTTTAAAGTTAGTTTATAATTTTAATTTCTTACATTTATTTCTAGAATATCAAAATAACATATAATTAATTATATTCAATTTATATTCTATCGTAATTAGTCAAATCCCCTAAGGTTGTCAATAGATTTTTTGGAATTTTAATAAATAATTAATTCAATTCAATTATTAATACTTTGATTTAATGTTCATCAAATAGCCTTAACAAAAACTATAAACAAGATCAATATCAAATGTATCAGGACATTCAAATGGAAGAATGTATGTTATGCCTTCTATATAAAATAATACAATAAATGCTATTTGGGATATCAATCAAATAGGATAGGAATTAGATTGTCATGATGATCCAATATTGCATTAAGCATTAGAGTTAATTACCAATCAATAAGTCAATTAAGCAATACTACTTTTGAATTAAAGTATATTTAAATACAAAAATCATTCTAGTGATAGTGGATGGAAAGAAATATCTAGGCTAGCAATCATAGGTTTAAGTAATTACAAAAGTGACTTTACTAATATGTTCTAGTGCTATGTCTATTCTTGAAAATGATCCTGCATCTGCTTTATTGTTATTATTGGGATGTGATTAAATGTTTAAAGGATTAACACCTAAATAATAAGGGTATTTGAGAGTTCAAATTCTTAATGGATTAGGTTGTTATTACAGAAGAGTTGGATAATTGGAAAAAGCATTAAAAGAATTAGAATGTGCTTTGGCAATTATTAGAAAATATAACTTAAAAGAAGTTGCAGTTACACATCTAAATTTATCAGTTGTATTATCTTTAGTAGAAGAGTATATATAATTGTATATTAATATAAAGACATGAAGGTGCTTTAGAGAATGCAAAGAAAGCAGTTACCGAAAGTCACAAAGAGTATCAATATTATATTAAGAATCATGTATCGATGTAGAGTTTTAAATTTCAAAGATGCGTAAGTTCATTGGCTATATCATTTTATAATGTAGGAGTTCAAGAATAGCATTTCTAAAAATATTAATTTGCTTTATAAGCATATGCATCAGCTTTTAAAGTTGCTGAAGATAATCTTGGTATTCATCATTACCTAACAATTTAATTGAAAAATATATATGAACAATTTGCTAGATAATTAGCTATAGCTGAAGCATAAAAAATTGCAATTACTTCATTAAATCATAAATTTTAAATTAGAGCTAATATTACAAGTCAATATGCACAAAGTGTATTAAAAAACAAAACCTTAGATACTACTAAAAAAGTAACTGATAGGTTATTTTATTCAGAAACTCAAAAATTTTAAAGACCATAATCAGCTATTATGAATTAAAATCAAACAACAAAATTAAAAGCTTTTGAAATTACTAAAAAGGAAGCATTTACTATTAAAAAATAAATGTCAGCAACCAATAGAACTCAAAATTAACTTAGTGAAGATAATTTAAAAACAGAAACTGAAATTATTGATAAAGCTAAAGCTTTACAATCTGATATAGAAAACTTAAGAACTGTAAATTTGATCATCATATATTTAGTTAGCTTAAAAGGAATAAGAAGAATTAAAATTTATCTAAGATTAAAAGTAAAAAGAACTATAAAAATTAGAAGCTTTTCGCTATATGAATTAATAAATTCAACAACATAAACAATAAAAAAATACTATATAAACATCGAGAGAAATCAAGAAATCTTCAGAATAATAAAAATAAATATTTAATACTGATCCTTTTATCTAAGAATAATTAGATGATAGTGAACCATAACCTCTAGTTGCTATTTAAACTCTGAATGATAATAAAGAATCAAATGATATAGAAGAGGAATAATATTTGACTCATGTATAATCAAATGATAAAAATCTTAGAAATGAAATTAATTAAGATTATGATAAAAAAAGATCCTCTATGACTTAAGATGAAACACTATAAAGTTTTACTAAGAAATTAGATTATGACTAAGAATCTACAAGTAAAAATAATTTTGGTTAACAAAATATATCTTGTAAACACATTGATGATCTCGAAGAAATTGTTGAAGATATTAATGAAGTTAATTAATAGTAAAATTAAAAAATCATAGAAAAGAATGTTGAAGAAATCATAAATTAAAAAGCTCAAAAACTTAATGAAGATTAACAGCTTTAACATATCGTTTTCATTTAAAAATCTTGGAAATCTAGTAATTCAAACTTTTAATCAAGAATTTAAAAAATAAAATCCAAGTATTAATAATCAATTTAGTATAATTATATAAAAATTAGAGATCAAAATGATTTCATTCATAATGGTTATTTTTTTATAGCATGGAATACAAATTAAATATCACAGATTGATTTAATATTCTACGATCTATACATTCTAAGGAAATCAAATAGAAAAAGTAATGATATATCAGAAAAATTGGATCATATCTTTATACTTAGTTTAAGTTCTAATTTTTAAGTGAACTAGGAATAAATTATTCAATTTGAAGATGAACTACTACCACATGTTACTATAAACTCTTCTCAATTAATTCTACACTCAATAGACCCTTATATTCAATTTAAACAAAAAAATAGTGAGAATCAAATTAGATTTGATTTTAATTAATAAAAATTTGAATACATATTCCCTAAATCAGAAGACAATCAATAAAATTATAATACTCCCGTTACTCTTGCAGATATATAATAATTTAATTCAGATTCAATTGTTGTTCAGAAAGAAGCTCATAAAACTCCAGATTAAATTTTTTCTAAAGTAGAACCTTTTTAAGATGTTCCATTAGTTTAAGAATAGGTTGATGAAGAAGAGTGTATTTAAAAAAATTCAAACAGTTAAGTTGAATCTATAAAAGAAGAGTAAAATGAGGAAGAATAAAATTATAATAAGGAAGGATTTGCAGAGAAGGAAAACTCTGATGATGAAAAAATTAATTAAACTGGACAATTTAATAATAACATGTTTTCATCTTAAGGGTTGTTATCAGAATAAGAATTTGATAAAAATGAATAAGTTAATTAAAGATAATCACAATAAAATAATTAAGAAAGTGAGAAGACTGAGAAAACTGAGATAAATTAAAATTTAGATTTTTCTCTTTAATTAAATTAGATGAGTGCTAATAATTCTATATTAGGATCTGTAAATATTATTGAATCAGAAAATTAGAATTAATAATAAACAGTTTTAAAAAATTATGTCCAAAATTAAAATAAAGAAAAAGTATCAGCCAATAACACAATTATTGAAGAGGATGAAGAAGAAAAGAAAGAATTAGAAGATAATGAAATTTAAGTTGGATAGAGTAAAGATAAAAATAATTAACTTATTAATGGAACTCAGAATATCACATCAAAGAATGAAATTTCTTATAATAATCTTAAAGTTAGTGAGAAATCATATTAATAAAGTTAATAATCTCAATCATAAATTAATAGTTAAACATCTATAGAATAGAAATATAAAACTTAAACTTTAGAGATTCTAAATGATGAAAAGAAAATTTATGCAAAACAAGTAAGCCTACAATTACCAGATTTAATGAGAGATGATATTAGTTAAATTTCGGATGAAGAAAGTATTATGTATTTTTCAATATTTATTAGTGTCTCTAACAAAAAATTATGTATTCGAAAAAGTTGGAACGATTACTGGAATTAATAAAAATGATGGATCACTAATTTAGATCAATATATTTATTAATAGAACCAAAGAATTATTTTAAGCTAAAGCTGAAGATTTTAAAGTAAAATCTATTTACTTTAAAGTTGAAAACATTTAAAAAACGCTTAAGAAACCCTAAAAATATTTGAAAGGTTATTTGGTGAATTGGCAAAAAGAAAATGTTTTAAAAGTTTATACAAAAGCTCATGAGAAGGCAGTAATTAAACTTCAGAAAAAGTTTAAATTTGATCATTATAGAAGACATATAACTTTTAAATTAGCTAAATCAAATATAGAGGGGAGTTTATATGTAGGGTCAAGAAAATAAGTTATATTTTTAGCAATAGAAACAAAAAGTACATAATAAAGAAATTCATATACATTTAGAAATGAAATTTATAGTTAGTTTGTAAATAGAATTTCTTTTAGAGTTCTTAATAATTTAAAATATTCTGAAGAGAAAGGGATATATTTACTTTAAGAACCATAACATAGAATATTGGCATAAAATTTATAAGGTAAAAATATAGAAAAATAATTTTAAGCTAAAATATTCAAGTTATTAAAACCAGAGAATGCATTTGAATTTATAGGATATGGTTTGTTGAATGGAATATATGACTCAGTTCATAAAAAAATAATAATTGCAAGTGATAATCGTAAGACTCAGCCATCATAAATTGATATTCCGAAATCCATATAAGGGGAATAATTAGTTGAATTTACCTAAAATCTATTGAATAGAGTAATAAAAAAATATTAAATTTAGTCTTTTGTGATTTAATCAAATAATGAAAACTGTGTTGTATATTATGAAGAAAAAGATGAAATGCAAGTGAAAATAATTTAAAATAAAATATTTAATTATTAGACCATCAGAAAGATGATTATCAATTATAGTAAGATACGTAATGGTTAAATAATATAAGAGGAAGTAACAATTGAATTATAAAGAAAATTAAAAAAATATTTTGGGATATTATGTTAGAAGAAATTTTATGTGATTGGCAAATTGGAGGAGAAATCAATAAAAAATTTAATAACAAATTTTAATAGGATTATAAGTACCTTTATTGTAAATGAGAATGATCAAATAGAATTAGATATTGATTCTATTAAAGATTTTATAAATGAAGGTGAATTTACTAATTTATTGAGAATGGATCTTAAAAGCATAATTTATTAGATCTGAATTTATTTATATGTGTCTCTTAATAAGTAAGGATTGAAATAAATAATTTGAAAAATAAAATTGATTATAAAAATAATATAAATAATACTAAAATGGCTAAATAGGGTTGGGGATTTTCAGGAAACAATGTGAAATTGAATACAAATAAGTAAGATATATAAATAGATTTAGTCGTGTAGAAAAGAAGTTAAATATTTGGGAAACAGCAGGAAAAGCAGATGATATATAATACATTCCTGATGCTGAGGAAGAGAAGAAACCTTAAAATTAAGTATCAGATGCTGGAGTAGTTTTAGGATAAAAATTATAGAATATAAATGAATTATAGAATTTAGCAAAAATATCATCTTTGCCATAACCAGTATAAATATGAATTAAAAATAAGGCAGACGATATAGATTTTAGTATTTTAACATAAGTATTGAGACCAGCTGAGGAAGTATAGGATATAGACGAATAATGGGAATTTTCAAAATTAAAAACAGAAATGTAGGAAATAGTGAATAAGCTTTACAGTAATAAAACAAATTCTTGAATAATTATATATAATTAAATAAAATGCCAAGAGAATTGATATTTGTATAAGTTGGTTAATGTGGAAATCAGATAGGTATGAGATTTTGGGATTTGGCATTGAAAGAGCATGCTAAAGCAAAATAATCATTATTATATGATGAATCATTATCATCATTTTTTAGAAATGTGAATTCAAAAAATTAAGAATTGAAAATAGGAGAGCCTATTTAAAATTTAAAAGCAAGAGCATTGATAGTAGATATGGAGGAGGGTGTGATAAATTAAATATTGAAAAGCCCATTGGGAGAGTTATTTGAAGAAAAACAATGTATTCAAGATGTATCAGGAGCGGGTAATAATTGGGCTCATGGATTTTATCATTATGGGAATTAATATGAGAAACATATAGAAGAGAGACTAAGAAAAACAGTAGAATAATGTGATTCATTATAATGTTTCTTTATGACGCATTCAATTGGAGGTGGAACAGGTTCTGGTTTAGGATCTAGAATATTAGGATGTATGATTTAAATAAAATAATATAATAGTATTAGAAGATAATTATCCTGAAGTTTTTAGATTTACAGCATCAGTATTTCCATCAGGTGATGATGATGTTGTTACATCTCCATATAATAGTTTATTTAGTTTATATGAATTAGCTAAACATGCTGATTGTGTATTTCCAATAGATAATTCAGCGTTAATTAATATTGTTGATTAAATTGATAAACCAAATAAAGCAAGATTAGTTAAAGAGAATGCTCATGAAGGAAGTGTAGGTATAAAGATTACATAGTTTGGAGAAGAGGAAAAGAGATAAAAACCATTTGATAAAATGAATAGTTTAATTGCTCATCTATTGAGCCATATAACATGTTCAATGAGATTTGAAGGAGCTCTTAATGTAGATTTAAATGAAATCACTATGAATCTAGTTCCATATCCAGATTTACATTTTCTTATCTCTTCTATGGCTCCATTATATAGTTTATTAGATTCTAAATTATAACCTAGAAGATTAGATTAGATGTTTAATGATATTTATCATCCTGATTTTTAAATGATTACAGGATAACCATCACTTCATAAATATTTAGCTGTAGGACTTTTGGTTAGAGGAGACGTAGCTTTCTCAGATGTTAATAGAAACATTAAAAAATTAAAAGATTAATTAAGAATGATTTATTGGAATTAAGAAGGTTTTAAATATGGAATATGTAATCAACCACCTATTGGTTAATAATATTCTATGTTATGTTTAGCTAACAATACTTGTATTAAAGATACATTTTAAGAAATGACAGATAGATTCTAAAAATTATACAAAAGAAAGGTTTATGTCCATCATTATAAATAATATATGGAATAATCTCATTTTGATGAAACATTAAATGCAATCTAAAATTTGATGGTTAAATATTAAGAATTGGAATTGGCATAACCAAAAAAATATTAAAGGATTCAACCTATATTTTGAATTTTTTTTTTTTATTAATTTTATATTATTAAACAAAAAGAAATATGAAGATCTAATAACCTAATTAAAATTTTTAGTATTTTTAAAATAATGAATATGAAAGAGTGAAATAAATATAAATAACATCTAAAATAAAATAAGGAGATTTATATTTGAAATAAATAGAAACTATAGATTATAAATACTATATATATAATATTATTCTAGTAAATTAAAGAAGGAATAGGTGAAATATATTATAGTTAAAGAAATTAACTTAATAAAGATTAATCTAAATAAGGTAGAAAATCTAGAATTGAAATATAAAAAATAAATATCTTAATGGATTTTAACTTAACTAAAATGTTAAATTGTTTAATAATTAAAATACTCATGCATGATTAATATCTTCTTATTAGAAACTCAACTCTAAGTCTTAATTAAGAAGACCTTATTCGAGATGATAGAAATGACCTTTTTGACTTACAAGATAATTATAATCTCCTTATTCAATAACCTAACCTTTGTCGAAAACATAAATAATTTTGCAATTCTAATATAAAATTCAAAAAGTATACTTTAATGGTTGATATCCTATGAGCTATTATAATAGCTGTTTTTCCAATCATATATTCTTCTAATTATTTTTAAACCATAGATTCAACATTGGAATCTAATGCACTTGTAGCTTCATCAAATAAAAATACACTTGAATTTCTTAAAACTGCTCTGGAAATGGCAATCCTTTATTTTTATCCACCTGAAATTAAACTTCCTTTACTACCAACCTTCTTTTGAAAGCCTCCAAAATCTTCTTGCATTATAAAATCATAAGCATGTGAAATTTTAACTGCATTCTCAATATCTTCTTATGTAATGTTTTTAAGATTATATTGAATATTGTATGAAATTGTTTCATTAAATAATTATGGTTCTTGTTAAACGATTGCAAAATGTTATCTTAAATACTTTAAATCAAAATCATATATAGATTTACCATCTAATAAAATATCTCCAGAATCAACATCATAGAATCTCATTAAAAGTTAAAACAATGTTGATTTGCCACATCCAGAAGAACCCACAAAGCCAACAGTATTACATGCATCAATTCTGAGATTTAAGTTTTTAAGTACAATAATATTAGGTCTTTGTGGATAACTAAAAGTAACATCCTTGAATTCTAAATTTCCCAAAATAGGTAAATTTTCAATTTTTATGATTTTAATTGATTTTCTCTTACAATTCATCTTCAATATCTAATAAATTAAAATAATAGTTAATTGCTTATTTAGCCTTATTATTATCAGATTAAAAGTATATATCTTTGGCACCTCCAACAACTGCAAATATAATTGCTAAAATAGTTTAATAGATTCCCAGTACAGGTAGATCATCATAATATAGTAGAAGAGTTCCCATAAAGAAAAGATATCCATTAACCAAGAATGGTTTCATTTATGCATATCCTGAACTTACTCCAATCCAAGCACCAAGTTTCTTAGCTTATTTACTTGGCTATTCCAAAAGTTTAGTATATTATTCAACCAAAATATTCTCAGCCCTTAATGAATAAACAGTTCGTATATTAGTTAAAGTTTCCATTAAAATTCTATTACTAATAATATATACTTATTCACAAAATGATTATTATGAACCAACAACATATTTTGAACTTAATTTAGTTCCAAAATAAGATAATGGAGCAAGTCCTATTGCTAATAAGGTTAATTTCCAAGATGAAACAAATGATAAAATGAATCCTACAAACATGGCTGCATAATATTAACACTTAAATCCAATAATATTTTAAAAAAGTTATTATACAATTCTTGAATCTGTATTAACTCTAGTTGTTAAAAATCCTACATTATTATTTGGATTATCATAAAATCCTACAGGTAATCGTAGATATTTATGAAATATTTCTAATTTCATTCGTATAGTTAATCTTTCAGAATAAACACTAAAACTAAAGGATTCTAATGTTGTTGAAATAAAATACACAAATCCTAAAATAAATAAATTAGTTTCGCATCTCAATATCGATTAATTTAAAGCATCCACTTTTTATAGTATTTAATCAGGTGTACTATTTTCTATATTATATTAAGGATTATTAATTAAAAGGGCTTCAATAACTTCAGCTATGACTTAAGAAAATAATGGATAAATTGAACCATTTACACATGCTGCTAAACATCCAATAATTAAATAATGAATTTCGTTGTAATTAAGTAAAATAAGATCTTTCAAAGTCTACATAAATGATCTTTCATTCATTTCTATTCTATCTTATTTTTATGATGTTTCCTATCTAACCATTGATAATTTAATTGTTTCATTTTAAGTATCTATCAATCTAATCTTAGACTTTTCAGATGGATTATTATCAAAAATTTATGTTCGCTTTGATGATCTATCTGTTCTTTTTTTAATTGATTCATTATCTATACTCATTAAAGTAGTAGGCAACACCATGGCTTCTTCTTTTGTTTATTATTTTGATATCAAATAAGCATATTATTAACAATTTAACAACAATTCTGTATGTGTACCTTATCCTATTATTTATCCTTATTAAAATACAATAATTAAATCACTATCTTAAATAGTACTTAAACGATGAGCAATAACAATTCTAGTTAAATTTGTAAATTATTCATCTATTTTTTTAGTTATTTGATATTCATTTGTTCTATCTAATGCACTAGTGGCTTCATCTAAAATTAAAATTTCTGGTTTTTATAACAATGCTCTAGCTATAGCAATTCTTTATTTTTAACCTCCACTAAATTGATTTCCATTAATTCCCACATTTGTATCTAAATGTTCAACTAATTCTGATGCATTCATTGATACTAACATTTCTATTAATTCTTCATCATTACAATTTTAATTTCCCAATTTTAAATTTTCTCTTATTGTTGTATCAAATAAAGCAGGTTCTTAAGAAACAATAGCAATCTTCTATCTAAATTATTCTTTCCCAATCTAATTTAATGATATTTCATTCGAACCTATCAAAATCATTCCACTATCAATTTCATAAAATTTAAGTAATAATTAAGCAATAGTAGACTTTCCAGATCCACTTTCTCCAACAAATGCTACTTTCTTTCCTTATGGAATTTAAAAACTCACTTATTTTAATACTTAAACTTCTTTTTTTGTTGGATATGTAAATGAAACATCTTTAAATTGAATTAAACCATTTAAACTATCATTATTTATTAATTCATAATTCTATTCTTAAATTTGCTTCTCATCTAAAATCTTAAAAACTTCTTTTGCTGCTAATTTTCCCTTAGCAAAACTTTACAAACAAGGACCAATCTATCCTAAAGAAAAGCTTCCCATTAATATTGCAAAGAATACAGTACAAATACTACCTGATGTATATATGGAACCTGTATAATTTATATCAACCTTTTAAAATACTAATATTTATAATTACTTAATTTGATACTNTCTAACCATTGATAATTTAATTGTTTCATTTTAAGTATCTATCAATCTAATCTTAGACTTTTCAGATGGATTATTATCAAAAATTTATGTTCGCTTTGATGATCTATCTGTTCTTTTTTTAATTGATTCATTATCTATACTCATTAAAGTAGTAGGCAACACCATGGCTTCTTCTTTTGTTTATTATTTTGATATCAAATAAGCATATTATTAACAATTTAACAACAATTCTGTATGTGTACCTTATCCTATTATTTATCCTTATTAAAATACAATAATTAAATCACTATCTTAAATAGTACTTAAACGATGAGCAATAACAATTCTAGTTAAATTTGTAAATTATTCATCTATTTTTTTAGTTATTTGATATTCATTTGTTCTATCTAATGCACTAGTGGCTTCATCTAAAATTAAAATTTCTGGTTTTTATAACAATGCTCTAGCTATAGCAATTCTTTATTTTTAACCTCCACTAAATTGATTTCCATTAATTCCCACATTTGTATCTAAATGTTCAACTAATTCTGATGCATTCATTGATACTAACATTTCTATTAATTCTTCATCATTACAATTTTAATTTCCCAATTTTAAATTTTCTCTTATTGTTGTATCAAATAAAGCAGGTTCTTAAGAAACAATAGCAATCTTCTATCTAAATTATTCTTTCCCAATCTAATTTAATGATATTTCATTCGAACCTATCAAAATCATTCCACTATCAATTTCATAAAATTTAAGTAATAATTAAGCAATAGTAGACTTTCCAGATCCACTTTCTCCAACAAATGCTACTTTCTTTCCTTATGGAATTTAAAAACTCACTTATTTTAATACTTAAACTTCTTTTTTTGTTGGATATGTAAATGAAACATCTTTAAATTGAATTAAACCATTTAAACTATCATTATTTATTAATTCATAATTCTATTCTTAAATTTGCTTCTCATCTAAAATCTTAAAAACTTCTTTTGCTGCTAATTTTCCCTTAGCAAAACTTTACAAACAAGGACCAATCTATCCTAAAGAAAAGCTTCCCATTAATATTGCAAAGAATACAGTACAAATACTACCTGATGTATATATGGAACCTGTATAATTTATATCAACCTTTTAAAATACTAATATTTATAATTACTTAATTTGATACTAATTAACCACTATAAAATATACCTAATGCATAAGTCCATTATTAAAACCCCAACATAGATCCATATGATAAACCATAATATAATCCATATTTAATTATTGTCTTTGATGAATGTTATATGATCTTACTAAACCTTTAATACTCAAAATCTTCTCCATCAAGCATTTTTACTGTTTTAATTTGACTTAATGTTTCTTCAACTACAGCTGATGAATCAATATCAGACTTTAATGTAAACTGTTCCCTCCAATATGCTGCATTAACAATCAATACTATTGTTATTGCTAATATTGGTAAGGCTGATGTTATTACTAATGCTAGTTTCCAACCTCTAAAAATATCTTTAACAAATTCATACTTTATATACCCAACCAAGAAACCACTTATAAAGGCAGCTAAAGAAAATGCAAAAGTCATTGTCTTTTCTCCAATTGCATCTGATATTGAAGATATCTCATTGTTTATTTTTTAGTTTAAAGTATTTGTATTTATTTAATCATACCACATAACCTACTTTCTTAATAGAGAACTAAGATAACATTTTCTTAATCTTTTTGTTTGATTTTCTGTACTTATAGAAAATGTCGCATACATTAATAATGTTACTAATAATGTAGCTATACCTAAGATTACCATATATCTAATATATCTATTTTAAATATACAATGTATTGAGTCCAGCCTTTTATATTTTGGTATCATTATCATCGTATGCATACGAATCAGTGAGGTCACCAAAAATTATAGAATATATAGGCATAGATAATCCGTTTCCAATCGCTCCAATCAAACTTAGAAACATTAGACCATAATCAGCTTTTGAAGCAAACCTGTACAATTGTACATAAGAAACATCAGTTTCATCCTATTTTCTATCTTCTTATTTCAGAGAGTCATTTTCATTTACTTCTGTAATCATTGTTTAATCGTAGGCTTAAAACGATAAAATTTTTGAGTGTTAATCTTTTAATTATTTTCATTCAAATTCAAAGACATACTTACGACATACAAATATACAACACTATCTAAATACGCATTATTGAATATTATCAAAAAAATATTGTTATGTGTTGACTTAATATAAGAAATTTTGTAGAATTTTTATTCTTAGTTTTTAACTTTTAAATTTATGATTTTTTTTAATAATTGAATAAAATGTTTCTTTGATGTTTAATTTAATGATCCAAACATGAAAACTTATTTTATAATTATCAAATAATTTATAATATGAAAAATAAATGATGATATATTAAAAGATGAAATTAATCAAATTAGTGATCAAAAATTATAAGAAATCATTTTTGCATATATAATTCCCATTCAATTTTTTTCACTGAATTAATTTTAAAGAATAATAAATAAAATTATTTCCATTTAATTAGAGTTAATAAGATATACAAAAATATAAATATAAAAAAAATTATTTTTCATCATTTTTGTGTAATTCTATAAAGTAAAAATAGATTTTTATAATTAATAATAAATAACCCTAATATAAATATATTAAGATTTAATTTAAAATCTGATNAAATATACCTAATGCATAAGTCCATTATTAAAACCCCAACATAGATCCATATGATAAACCATAATATAATCCATATTTAATTATTGTCTTTGATGAATGTTATATGATCTTACTAAACCTTTAATACTCAAAATCTTCTCCATCAAGCATTTTTACTGTTTTAATTTGACTTAATGTTTCTTCAACTACAGCTGATGAATCAATATCAGACTTTAATGTAAACTGTTCCCTCCAATATGCTGCATTAACAATCAATACTATTGTTATTGCTAATATTGGTAAGGCTGATGTTATTACTAATGCTAGTTTCCAACCTCTAAAAATATCTTTAACAAATTCATACTTTATATACCCAACCAAGAAACCACTTATAAAGGCAGCTAAAGAAAATGCAAAAGTCATTGTCTTTTCTCCAATTGCATCTGATATTGAAGATATCTCATTGTTTATTTTTTAGTTTAAAGTATTTGTATTTATTTAATCATACCACATAACCTACTTTCTTAATAGAGAACTAAGATAACATTTTCTTAATCTTTTTGTTTGATTTTCTGTACTTATAGAAAATGTCGCATACATTAATAATGTTACTAATAATGTAGCTATACCTAAGATTACCATATATCTAATATATCTATTTTAAATATACAATGTATTGAGTCCAGCCTTTTATATTTTGGTATCATTATCATCGTATGCATACGAATCAGTGAGGTCACCAAAAATTATAGAATATATAGGCATAGATAATCCGTTTCCAATCGCTCCAATCAAACTTAGAAACATTAGACCATAATCAGCTTTTGAAGCAAACCTGTACAATTGTACATAAGAAACATCAGTTTCATCCTATTTTCTATCTTCTTATTTCAGAGAGTCATTTTCATTTACTTCTGTAATCATTGTTTAATCGTAGGCTTAAAACGATAAAATTTTTGAGTGTTAATCTTTTAATTATTTTCATTCAAATTCAAAGACATACTTACGACATACAAATATACAACACTATCTAAATACGCATTATTGAATATTATCAAAAAAATATTGTTATGTGTTGACTTAATATAAGAAATTTTGTAGAATTTTTATTCTTAGTTTTTAACTTTTAAATTTATGATTTTTTTTAATAATTGAATAAAATGTTTCTTTGATGTTTAATTTAATGATCCAAACATGAAAACTTATTTTATAATTATCAAATAATTTATAATATGAAAAATAAATGATGATATATTAAAAGATGAAATTAATCAAATTAGTGATCAAAAATTATAAGAAATCATTTTTGCATATATAATTCCCATTCAATTTTTTTCACTGAATTAATTTTAAAGAATAATAAATAAAATTATTTCCATTTAATTAGAGTTAATAAGATATACAAAAATATAAATATAAAAAAAATTATTTTTCATCATTTTTGTGTAATTCTATAAAGTAAAAATAGATTTTTATAATTAATAATAAATAACCCTAATATAAATATATTAAGATTTAATTTAAAATCTGATAAAATAAATAATAAGAAGAGTGAAATTAATGACTAGATAAAGGAGTTATTTTAGAGATGGTAAATTTGGTAGAAAAAAAAATACCTCAATAGAAGAAAATAATGAATTAAAGAGAAAAACTAGGGAAAAATTTATAAAATGCAAATAGATTGTTTAGAAATATCGTAATATATGTTAATGTCAGATATTGTTTAAGATTAAGGATTAAAATGATTTAATATTATAAAGAAATAATAAAAATGGATTCTCAAAAAAGGAAGCGTCTAATAATTTAATATTCTCTAAAATTAAAAGAACTCAAAGAAGGAAGACATGATTCAGAATAGAAGGGATCAAGGGTTCATTAAAAATCTCGAGTATTAAAAACTGAGTCATCAATGTCGATGGTTAAATAGCCGTAATAATTGTAAATGCCTCCTGTAGATGATATAATTTCAAAGGGGGAATGCAAATTAATTTTTTTATAAACATAATCAGATGATACAGGTTTTCGAACATTTAATGAGATGATGAGGACTAATTCAAGTTGGCTTACATAAGCAGATAAACTCGTAAATACACTTAGCAGTCCATTGCAATTAAAAAATAGACTATAATTTAATCATAGTTAAGCATTGAGGTTCAAGAATCGAATTGAATAAAAATGGAATATGACTGTAAAAGAAGTGGCAGATTCAATAATACAAAAATAAGGATAAAAAGAATAGAAAATAAAGTTAGTTCATTTGAAAATAAATCATAATGATACTGATGATGTAGGATAATAATAAGAAGAATGTTCTTCACCAGCATTATCATAAGAAGTGATTACAACAAATTTAAAGTTTTTTTGGTTTCACATATAAATATCAGATTGGAAACCACCAATTCGTGAAGGTTGTACAGTTACATATATATAAAATTTGAATAGATGTATAATGTATGGTGGAATAGGAAATGATTTATTTAAGACTTTTGTAACTTTGAATATATAAACATGGGTATGGAAAGATATAGGAACAGGAGTAGGTGATGTTCCATTAGAAGGTAGATTTGGTCATACAGCTACACTTTATAAATAATAATTAATAATTTATGGAGGTGAAAAAAAATATAATAATGCTATGAAAATGAGAGAATGTTATGGAGATGTTCGTATATTTACTCCAAGCGATAAAACATGGATTTAACTTAAACCTTATGGAGATGTAGTTGAAGGAAGACGAAATCATTGTGCAGAAGTAGTTGGAAAATATTTCATTGTTTATGGAGGTATCAATTCTTATGGAAAAGTATTAACAGATGTAGCTGGACTTAATTTAGAAACTTGTAAATGGTATTTTCTTATATTTTATAATTTAAGGACTTCATTTTAAATTGAAAATTCAACTGGATTAGATGGAGTTTCTGATGCAACTTCTTTAGCCATGTTTAAAAGTGAAGTCAAAATGGAAAATCCATATTTCAGTTATGAATGGGTTAAAAAAAAGGGAAAATCCTTTTTACCTATTACTTCTGAAGGCATTTATATTTTTGGAGGTAGATTATAAAATGGAGAAGCTGTTAATGATCTTAGAATTATTTAATTTGGATTCAAACCTATCAAAATTAATAAAATTAAAACTAAAGTATTCAAAATTATTTAATTAGGGATAACCTCCATTAGCTCGATATTCTCATTCTATGAGTTATTTTAGATAAACTAATGTCATTATTATTTATGGAGGTAGAAATGATTCAAAATAAGGAAATATACTTAATGATATATTTGTATTACAAATACAATAATTCTAATGGTCTTAGGTTTAGTAGATCTAATAATTGTAATCATTTCCATTTAAATAGAAAACATGGTAAATGTAGACATTCAAGTGTATCTATAGATTCTAAAATTCTTATTTTTGGAGGATATGCTTAACATGTTTTTGCTAATGCTGACATCTAATTATTAGAATTAGATTAAAATAAAGTGGCTAAAATGATTAAGGATAATAAAAATAATAAAAACAAAGATGTTGTTATTCATAGTGATGAATTAGTTAATAATAACACTCTTAAAGTCTTCAAAACTGAATATTATAATGAAGCTGAAGATCCAGATCTTAAACAGAAGAAAATCTAAGAAAATGAATTCTAAAGATTATGCTATAGTAATTTTAAAAGTTTTATGCCGCTACCTTAATAAAATCATTCATCTTTAGTCAATGAATACAAAAATAAGAGAGAATAAGCCAAATTAGAAATTCTCAAAAATTTATTTAATGATCTAAGTAGAAGAAACAGCCGTAGAACAATCAGTGATTTTAAAATTATGGAGTAATGATTATAAAAACAAAATTGAAATTTTTATTTTGTTTAATTTTAATTTATGATCACTGTTACCTAAGGAGAAAGATTAGAATGCTTCAAAATAGATGGATAATTCATAGGTACACTTATACTATGTAACAATAAACCTAATAAGTTATAAAATCATTAAATCTTAGTTTCTGTGGTTTCAAAATCAGGACAAATAATACATAAGATATTTAAGTAATGCCACATATAGGATCTTTTACAGGATAATACTTTAAGATTATTGTGAAATGCCTAAAATTCTAAGGTTGTTATACTATGTGTAAATATTAGCTAATGCAAAACTATAAATTCTGACTGTTGATTTGACTGATTAAAAATTTAATAAAACAGACGTTAAATCTCTTGCCTCTTACTTTGATTCTTATTCTAACAGCTCATTTGTTGAAAAAATTAAAATAGAAATAATTACAATCGATTAAAATTAATTGACCAAATAGTCAAACGTTATTAATCAATCAAACTCCTTAAATAAAAACATTGAAGAAAGTATTTATCACTAATAAGAATTTATATATGAATAAAATGCTTTATTAAAAAAAAGTGAATAAATGAAACAATAACAAATTCGGAACTCATATACAAATTCTGATTAACCCTAAAGTATTAGTAGAGCCTCTGCTTCTGAATAGAAATTTCTTACATCTACTACCTTTTAATAAGTTAAATAAACTCTATCTAAATAATCATCAAATTCATAAAATACTTTTTAATTAGATTATCCTCCTCCAAGACCATAATCATACCCACATCAACCTTAATAACCAAAAGTGCATAATTATTAAGAAAAAGAATATGAGGAAGATCCATAAATTTAACAATTAAATCTACGATATACTTAATTAGAAATAGAATTCCATAAATAGTAGGAATAACTTTAAAATATTGAAAAATAAAAAGCATAACTATTATCATAAGAAATTAATTAAAATTAAGGGTAAATATATGTAGGAGTTCAGCATATTTTTTTTTCTGCTCTAATTTGTTTTTTAATTGGTTATGTAGCAACAAATTGATTTTAAAATTTTGTTTATAAAACCTAATATATTATAACAAATGTAATTATTTAAAAGATTACTCTGGCAAATAAATTTTGTTGATTATAAATGTTTACAAAAAGGTTTTGATTAAAGATTTAAAAAAATTTATCAATAAAAAAACTTAATATTGTTTCTCATTAAATCTTAAACTATTGTTATTAAAAAGAATTTATAGATCTTATAAATTTGTTTTACATAAGAATTTATCCAAATAAAATAAAGATCCAAATTTACATAAATAATTCAATTGTATAAATATATTAAATTTCGCTATAAATTTAAGAAATATTTTTCTAAATCTAAAATATTTAGAATTTAAAAAGTTAATCAAAAATATTATTTGTTTTATAATTATTTTTCTTCCAAAATTTTTACCAATTATTTAATTCATTTTTCGTGCCAATATATTCTTGAAGATTATCAAATAGCTCCTTATATATCTTTCAATAGATTTTCTTCATATGGAGTTGCTACTTCTAATTTTTCATTTAAAACTTTTTATCTAAATAGTTCTAATCATTATTTTAATATTCTTATTATTATAGTTCTTCCTAACATTATTATGTTGTTTATTTTTACTATTAAATTTCCATTCTTTATACTAATTTTACAATATCATTTATTTATAGAATATTAGAAGTTTTTCACTATCATTTAAAATGAATCCAAAGGTAATTCTTAATATTAAATTTTTATTTGAGTCCATTTTATTTAAATTTAATTAATCAAAATTAGTTCTCTTATAAGCTTGATATTTTCAATTTCCTAATGGGAACTTATCAATCCTGATAAATTCATTGAGAAAAATAAATCAAATTAATTTTATTATTAAGATATGTGGTTTAGTTTTTATTATAAAAAAACATAATCAGTGTTAAAATCATAATCATAATTTTTTCTATGTTAAAAACTCTCTTCTATTTTGACGTCTTAATTATATGTTTTCTTCTTGCTTCTATAAATCTCGATTAATCATAGACCTCATTAAAGAATTATTTTAATTAAACTCTCTTGCTGTTGATATGGCATCTTTTGATTCAAGTTTTTAACTAGGCTCAAATGCTTTTTATATTTTTGATTTCATTAAAAGCTAACTTGCTTTTTCTGTAAATATTTTATATCTCTTGTCATCATACTAACCATAATATTCAGTGCCTAGCTTTCTTAATTTACTTAAGTTACTTTATATAATTCTAACAATTAATTAACCATTTTCTAATTTACTTATTCATTTTCTAATTCTAATTCTAAATCTAGAATCTATTAAGCGAAATTAGATGGCAATCTTAATTTTGGTTAATTTATCATTTATTTAAATTGCTCAAAATCCCCTTAATCATCATGAAAAAGCCAGTTCCTCAAACTTTCAAACATTTTTAATTCTCTATATTTATATAAATGTAAATTTTATTATAAATCAATTCAAAAATCATCAATATTTAAAGGAATTTCATGAATTCTATCCTCATATTTAGAATCTAAAACTTAAGATTCATTATTAATAATCATTTTTACAGTTCTAAATACTTTCTATTCATGCCTCTAAAATATGATTGGAATCTTTAATTAATAACATTATCCTTCTTGCATTAATTTATGAGGTACTATATATTCATATTACTTTTCTGAATCTTCTAATATCAAACCTATATTCATTTCTCCTAAAGTATCCATCAATGGTTAATTGTTTTCTATTGAAATTCCATAATTGTTTAACAGCATATATCTAGCGATATTCGCTTTATCTTTTTATGGTACATTTTAATTAGAAAAGATATGATTTTCTAATTGAATAAATTTTATCTTATCATTAAAATTAAATTTCATTAAGCAAACCTCCTTAAATCTTTCATATTTGGTATAAATATATGTTAATGCATGTTTAGGTGTTTTTTATATGTAAATTGCACTCCAATCTTCAGTTATTTAAAAGTATTTATCAAAAAGATTATATGGAACTATCTAATCTTGATAAGGCATTATTTTAAATCCAATTTAAGCTTCCATAAATAACTTTTAATTTATATAAAAACCTAAAAATAATAATCATTTATATATTGTTTTAAATGACACAATAATTGTATGAATTTAGACTTTACTAAATTAAAATAATATTTGCCATTCTATTAAGCCAAATTTTTGCAAAAAAAGGCAATTTTATATAGAAGAGATTTGAAAAATAAGAAAAAGAATGAATAATTTAAAAAATGTATTATAAGTTACAAATCCATATTCTTTATGGAAAATTTAACTTCAAAGAACAGTAAAAATATTCAAGTTTTCAGAATTAATTTATTCATGAATATTTATGATATATATGAGAGATTAATGTTGTAGTTTTCATTTTATTTTTTAATTATTCTACTCATTTTTTGAATTTTATATAATAACTTAAAATAATATTGAATAAATAATTGAAAGAATGTTAACTCATTAAATAAAAATATTTTAAAACTGAGTAAAAGTTTTTTCATCAAATGGGTCAGGATATTGTAATTCGATGACTTCTTTAACATGAAACTTATTTTGATCATCTTCAACTTTTTGTAAGAAATCAATATCTTCCTCTTCAATTATTTCAGGTAATTTTTTAAAATTTTCATGAATAGGAATGTATCTAATTAAATTTGAATAATGAATATACTTAGTTGAATAATTATTAGCAAATTTTTGAAAAGTTTCTTCTGAAAATTTATTCTTAAATTAATTAATATAGATTTGAATTTTGGTTGGTTATTGGATTACGATATTTCTAAAGTATTCACTTTGTTTAGGTGTGAGTTTTTGAAAAGCTAAATGATTACAAAATGCATACATACAGATTAATTCAATAACAGCCTAAGTATTATAATGATTGAGTTGAATCTATTTGTCACCATTAGATTTTTATCGTTCAATTTAATCTAAATATTAAGAAACTAAATTGACAACTTAATCATCTACCTATAAATAATTATATAATTTATGTTACACCTTATAATCTAACTATACATTTTCAAAACCTTATATAAATCTACATTAATGAATAAATTCTTCAAATTTATTGGAGAAATTAACCATAGATTTAGATATTGCAATCAATTAAAGGAGATCATTAGATTGCAGTTCTTGCAATTTCTTAATGAGTAAATTAAAAGCAATTAAGCCACAACAATAATATTTCAATAAATCGTTCATAAGAAGCAAGAACACATACTAATTAACTTTAAAACGTAAATGACCATTTTTTTTTGTTTCAATAACATCAAATGCTCTTTATACTAATTCTAGAATCATTTTTAATTCTTCAAAAATAGATTTGAGTGACATTTAATTAAAATACAGGATTTTCTCTTTTTTATATAATGTTAGTGAAGTTGAATTTCTAAGTTTTAATCCTTTATATTTAATGTAATGATAATATTTAGATATTAATTCGTTTATGAGTAATTACTTATTTTTAATGTCTCTCTCTTATCTACATTCAATTAAAGGCAAATCTAAATCTTGAAATTCTTTGAGTAAAATGCGATCACTTACACACCTCAATTTTTTTGACCTAATACCTATCTATGATTATCAAACTTTTAATGATCATCATCCAACCATTTTCATCATTATTTTATAATTTCAATCTTCTCACTAAGGAACTATACGCTGTCTATGCTTTTGTTTATAAGTCTTCTCCTGATAATGTAGCTAGAATCTATCTGATATCTTCTTCACATGGTGGATTCGTGTTTGTATAGGTAGCAGCAATTCTAGCCTTAACAGTGTATAAATTTGAGTTATTACTTTCTCAAACTTAGTCTCAGCTCCCATGGTTGCACAAAATTGAGTAAAAATATTCATATAATATATTTTATATTTTAAAATCAATTAAAGCAAAGTTGAATTCTATTCCAAATTGTGTGATTATGACAATTTGAAATATTATATACTCATATACTCTCCTTTACTTATCAAATAGTAATTGACTTATTAAAGAGAAACAATTTATTTTAAATTGAATTGCATTTGTTTATTCTTTGAAGAATAAAAAATGCTAAATTACATCTATGTCTTTNTATTAAGAAACTAAATTGACAACTTAATCATCTACCTATAAATAATTATATAATTTATGTTACACCTTATAATCTAACTATACATTTTCAAAACCTTATATAAATCTACATTAATGAATAAATTCTTCAAATTTATTGGAGAAATTAACCATAGATTTAGATATTGCAATCAATTAAAGGAGATCATTAGATTGCAGTTCTTGCAATTTCTTAATGAGTAAATTAAAAGCAATTAAGCCACAACAATAATATTTCAATAAATCGTTCATAAGAAGCAAGAACACATACTAATTAACTTTAAAACGTAAATGACCATTTTTTTTTGTTTCAATAACATCAAATGCTCTTTATACTAATTCTAGAATCATTTTTAATTCTTCAAAAATAGATTTGAGTGACATTTAATTAAAATACAGGATTTTCTCTTTTTTATATAATGTTAGTGAAGTTGAATTTCTAAGTTTTAATCCTTTATATTTAATGTAATGATAATATTTAGATATTAATTCGTTTATGAGTAATTACTTATTTTTAATGTCTCTCTCTTATCTACATTCAATTAAAGGCAAATCTAAATCTTGAAATTCTTTGAGTAAAATGCGATCACTTACACACCTCAATTTTTTTGACCTAATACCTATCTATGATTATCAAACTTTTAATGATCATCATCCAACCATTTTCATCATTATTTTATAATTTCAATCTTCTCACTAAGGAACTATACGCTGTCTATGCTTTTGTTTATAAGTCTTCTCCTGATAATGTAGCTAGAATCTATCTGATATCTTCTTCACATGGTGGATTCGTGTTTGTATAGGTAGCAGCAATTCTAGCCTTAACAGTGTATAAATTTGAGTTATTACTTTCTCAAACTTAGTCTCAGCTCCCATGGTTGCACAAAATTGAGTAAAAATATTCATATAATATATTTTATATTTTAAAATCAATTAAAGCAAAGTTGAATTCTATTCCAAATTGTGTGATTATGACAATTTGAAATATTATATACTCATATACTCTCCTTTACTTATCAAATAGTAATTGACTTATTAAAGAGAAACAATTTATTTTAAATTGAATTGCATTTGTTTATTCTTTGAAGAATAAAAAATGCTAAATTACATCTATGTCTTTATATACCTAATAATATGAATCTGTTTTTAATTGTGATATTATGTTGCCACCTCAAGCATACATGATATCTAAACCATAAGTTTAGGATGATCTAAAATATAATTAAGATAAAATAATAGATTGTAGTAAAGAGTAGAAAATGAAAAGCTAAATAAATTCAAGATTATAATGAATTACTAGATTTTCTATATCGAGACTTTATAAAAGCCAGAAATCGTATTGCTTGCGATAAATTTAGAGATTATAATTTAATTATAAAATCTAAAAGGACTGCAATAATTTTATGTATCATATAATTAATAGAAGTACTACATAAAAATTCTTTTTGACATATTTTGTATGAATATCATAATTTCAATGAGATTGTTATTTATAAATCTATGCTTTCATTAATAAGGTATGGAATAAATTTCAATTGTCTATAAAATATTCTAAGTAATGAAAGAAGCAAAAACAATATTTAGTAAGTTTAGATATAGATGAATACTTAATAATTTTAGTATTATATTAATAATATTTAATAATAATAATATGTTGTTTGATCCAAAACAAGAGAATCTGCCATATACTTTTGCAATGATTAAGCCAGATACAACTCTTAAACCAAATGTGGTGTAGGAAGTGGTGAATAAAATTGAGGCAGCTGGATTAACAATAAAAAACTTTGTTTAAGTATAGTGTTTAACAATTATCTATTGAGAGAACTCTACAGAGAAGAAGTGCTTAATCTATTTTACAAATAATAAAAGTATATGGATGAAATTATGACATATATGTTATCTGGTGAATGTGTAATGTTTCTTTTATGTCATGAAACTGAAAATCCTATAATGGTATGGAAAAAGATGATTGGAAATAAAGATCCAGCAGAGGCTAAGAAAGTTGATCCATAATCATTAAGAGCAGTTTATGGGACATCAATAATAAAAAATGAATTTCATGGAAGTGATGATCCATTTTCTGCCAATAAAGAAAGGGACATTTTCAAATTCCCAATCCCTCAAAAAATACCTGATTTTAAATTCGATAAAATGTTAGTATCTTTAGAAACACTGTTTAAATTTCTATATCCTCCTAATTTAGAACATTCAAATGCATTAGAAAGATTAGACATTTTTGCTATTTATGGTCCATGTGTAAATTATCATAGTGTTGATCAATGTCTTTGTAGACAATGTGCATTAATAGGTAAAGAACATATAGAAGGTGTAAGAGATTCTCTGATTGCTTCTGAATAAACTAAATTAGGAATTAAAATAAGACCATAACCAACAACAGCTACAAAAACATAACTACCTTAGAGAGTTTAATTACCACCAATTAGATTATTAAAGGAAGAAGATATTAAATAAGTTTATTAATAATTATGTGAAAAGTGTTAATTTCATTGTAATGGTTATACACATTTACAAGGAGGTAGAAATATGTAGCATATTATGACTGATTAAGAATTAAATACATTGGCTAAGGAAATGAATAAATAAGAAATATTAGAATTGCTATACAGTGAAAAAGGTAATGCTGCTAATGTAATGATTGAAACCATTGATCTTAATGAACCTAATCATTACACTAAAGAAATGATTGAATTATTATTTTAAGATCTAGAAACAGATTATTATAATAGATTTAAATTTTATCATCTTTAGAATATTATTTTAGAAGATAGAAGAATTAGAATGAATGCTTGGATGAGTATTCTAATTAATAAACCAATTCATAGATTTAAAAATCCTAAACTTGTTTGTAAAGTTCCAAATGAAATGAGAAAGAATCCAGAAAGCATTCATTATACTATTAATAGAATATTACCTCTTAACTAAACTTACAAAAAGAAAGACATTACTAAGATGCCTTTAGATTTCCCACCAAATCTTGCAGATAAAGAAAAACTCAATCCTAATGAAGAAAAACTTGCATTGTTAAAGAAGCTTCATAGAGACACTCATCATATGGTCGAAATATAAGATGCAAAGAAGGTTTTTATATATTTCTCATTATTTTAGGTTGTCTCAAATGGCGTTTATCTATTGCGTAAATATAATGATGGAAGAAATGGTGAATGGGATAACTATTCATCTCTCAAAGGAATGAATAGAGGCTCTTATGTAAATTATGAAGAAACTAAGAAAAAAGAAAAATTCTGAATTTAAATCATCCATCATCAATTACCATAAGAACAAATCTTAGTATATTTCTCATATTATTTTATATTTAAAAAATCTTTTTTTTATTTAAATACCTTAAATTAATAAAAATAAATTATTTAATTTTGCTTATATGTCAATAACAATAGAATTACAAGGTCTAGGTGAGGAAGACTCATTCTAGACAATATTAGATCATGAAACTACATTATTAAAAATTGGGGAAATGATTCAAGAGGCTCAATATTATTAGTAAATTATTATCTCTGATCTAGATCCTTTAATTTAAGTGAATAGTTCTGTTTATAGATAAAAGATACAAATAAATTTATTAGTCGAAGACAAACAGTTGTCAAAGATTGTCTCTCTTTAAATTAAATAGATGCAAAAGAACTAATCTTTCATAAAGGACTAGAAGGTTAGAAGAAAAGTAGCAATTAACTTATTTATTTTAGTGTTATCAGGAATTACGATTGATTAAAATGATCAAAATTAAATATAGACAGCTCATTATTAACCTATAAATTAAAATTCAATGAAAAAAAATAATGATATTTAATAAGGTGGAACTGTAAATAATTAATAATCTAAAATAATAAATAATTAATTAGGGGGAGGAATCTAAATTGGAGGAAATATTTCTGAAACACAACATTTAAGAAAATTTGAGTAATAATAAAATTATAATCCATAAGTTGTTGAAGAATATTAAGGAAATTCATCTATAAACTTACAATATAAATAATTATAATAATAATAATAATAATAATAATAATAATAATTATAATTCAGTTAATTTTCATAATAAGAAAGTCAAATCGAATAACTAATCGACCCATAAAACAATCCTATACTTCAAAGATAAGGAGCCGCTATAAAAATTAATAAAAATTAAGTATTACCTCAATAAGGTGGATAATAAGTAAGCGGAGAGTTAAGTTATACATAATATTTGCGGTAAATGACTAATAATGAATCTTCAAACAATCTTTAAAATTCATAAATATAGGAATAACCTAATAATACTGATTAACTTAATAAAAATGAAATGTTCTAAAGATAAAACCCTCTATGGCAATCAAATTTAAATAACTTAAATATACACACTTAATAATCATCTAAAAAAATTTTATTTGAAAGGACTTTTAAAATTAAGCTTAATCAAGAACTTGAATAGGGTTTAAAGAGATATTTAGAAAATTAAAAAATTGAGTATGAAATAATAAGCTGATAAAAATGATATTAAATATACATTATAAATATTAATTAAAGAAAGAATTTTCATAGAATTTAAATTAAATGAAATGTAGTAAAAGAATTATAATTTTAATAATGTAAATACAAAGAAAAGATCATAGTAAATTAGCAATAATAGGGAATGTAGATTCTGGTAAATCAACATTGGTTGGTGTTTTGAGTAAAGGAATTTTGGATGATGGAAGAGGTGAAGCAAGAGAAGTATAAATATAAATTAAATGAAGCGTGTCTTTAATTATAAACATGAGAAGGAAAATGGTAGAACTTCATCTGTGGCTTAAGAAATAATGGGATTTGATGAAAATTTTAAATAAGTTTTGCCTGAGAGATTTAATCAAAATAAAAACAAATATTGGAGTTAAGTTGTAGAGAAGAGTTAGAAGATAGTTACATTCTTAGATTTATGTGGTCATGAGAAATATTTAAAAACAACAATATTTGGTTTAGTAGCAATGGTTCCTGATTGTTCCTTAATAATAGTAGGAGCAAATATGGGTGTTTCAAAGATGACTAAAGAACATCTAGGAGTAAGTATGTTCTTGGGTATACCTTTTGCAATAATCTTAACAAAGATTGATATTGCCCCATAAAATATCTACAATGATACTCTTGAACTTTTAAAATAATTAATAAAGAGTCCTGCAATTAAGAGAACTGCTATTGTATTTGATTAAAATTCTGAAATGAATGAAATAGATAAATGGGCAGGATTGATGCATGGAAATAATGTTGTACCCATATTTCAAGTGTCAAGTGTCACAGGAATTGGATTATAACAATTAAATAGGTTTATAAGTAGAGTACCAAATAGAGATTAATTAAATAAAGCTTATCACACAGTTAATGATCCATTTTAATTTGATATCTAAGAAAATTTCAATGTTACAGGAGTTGGAATTGTAGTTAGTGGTATAATGAGAAGTGGGAAAGCAGCTTTAAATCAACATGTGCTTTTAGGTCCAGATAAAAATAAATGTATTTAAATTAAATTAATATTATAGAATTTAAATCTGTAACCATAAAATCAATTCACATCGATAGAGTATTAGTTGATTCTGCTTAAGTTGGTGAATTTGCTTGCTTCTCTCTTAAACCATCTAAAGCTGGTGATAAATTAGATAGAGCTGATTTTAGAAAAGGAATGATTCTTATTGATCCCACTCTAAAACCAGAACCTGTTAATGAATTCGAAGTATTTTATTTAAATCTAAATTAGGCAAAAATTCATATACTTCATCATCCAACTACTATGTGTAAAGGATACCAAGCTGTCATGCATTGTGGTGTTGTTAGATAGGCAGTTGAAATCAAAAGCATATCTGAACATGAAATCTTGAGAACTGGAGATGTTGATACTGTTAGGTATATTTAATTTTAATCTTTAGACTCAAATTCTTATATGCTGCTGAATATTTATAAACTGATTAAGTTTTAGTAATAAGAGAAGGTAGAACTAAAATATTTGGATACATCTCAAAATTAATTACTGAGAGATAATTAGAAGATAAGAGAAATTTCATAGTTCAAAATTAAATTTGATAATGTATATATGTATTACACTTCTTAAAACAAACTTGATTATTTTTTAAAAAAGTATAATAATAATTTCTATAGGTTTTTCAATGTTTCCTAAATTAATATAATTCGTTTAGTTGATTTATTTTGTCTTATTTTGCTTTTCTTTCAAGATTTAATCTATTTTAAATTTCTCTTGCTCTTGATTTTTCAGTAGATAATTATCCATTTTTATGTTATTTAGTTTCACTTTCCAAAAAAGACCTTCTCTTTTCATTTTCTTCTTAAATTCTTCTGTTAATTTCTTCATCAATCTTTTTCTTAGTATCATCTTATGTTGTTGATTCAAATATGCTTATTCTTCCCCCTTATATAACACTACTTTATTATGGTGTCTTAAATTTATTAACTATTTCCTCATACATTTCATCTAACTACCTTTGACATTGTATTTATAATCTTTATGATTCTTATTTAATTTATATATCAATATCCTTAAAACTAGGTTCAACTAATTAATTGATTAATTAATTAATTCTCTCATCTTAATGCGTAGCTATAAATTAATACTAAATAAATACCTATTTGATTCATTTCTCTTTGTAACATAAGTAGAGTCTTTTCAAAGCGTTCAAATTTGAAAGTAATACTTTCATCATTTCTACAACGATCCAAATTCAAATCTTGAAATTGATGAATGACATGATCTAATTATTTAGTTAATTCATTGATTCGTTTGTCTTACAATTAAGTAAGATTTTCAATAAATCCTAATCGATCTTCTACAATTTTGAGCCGTATGCTCATGTTTTCGTTATCTAAAAACATTAATAGTAAATAATTAGAAAATAAATAGTTATTTATAAAAATATTAAAAGGGAAATTATTTATATGTTATTTTTAGAATTAAATCGATATCATGCTGATGATCTCTCTTAAAGATAAACTTTAACGTTGGATAACTTGGTAGCTAAGATCTCTTCAACTTATCTGATGATTGAGATTTCTTATTATCTGTGTTCAGAATCTTCAGCATATTAAGTTCTCCATGAATCACATTCAGCTTCCTTTTATTCCTTTCCTGATGAAGCGGCATTCAATTCATCGGTAGCATCTTCCTTTCTCTTCTTTTATAAATCTAAAGCTTATTAGTTATCTTAGAGTTATCTTTCAGAATCTTCTCTGGCAGCACTCAATGATTCTCTTTATGAAGCAATTTCAACAACCAAAGCTTCGAAATCTAATTAAGCTTAAATTTCTGTTTATCTAGCATCTTCAAGAGCTTCAGCTAATTAGACACTGACTTCACCTAATTTGTTAAGAACATTGTTCAATTATTCAGCTGAGAATGTTGAAGCAACTTACATAAGAGCAAGAATTGGGTTGGATGCACCAATCTTGTTTAATTATGTTAAAGCAGCCAAAACTTCTTAATCTGGTTGGATTGAGCTCAACTTTTAGATGATGACTTCAACAGCTTCGATAACGTTTTCTGTTTCATTTTCAAATGTTGTGAAGCTTTAAGCATCTTCAGCTCTTTATTCTCTGATTTATGTTTCTTATTCATTCAAGATATCCAATTAAACTTATTTGTTTTCAACGTCTTATGTCAATTATTCAACCTTTGCACTGAGTGTTTAGATTTCTTAGGTTGATTCGGTGATTTCATTGGATGCGAAGTCAATTCTTCTGTTGTATTAGTAAATTTCTGTTTCACAATCAACTTCATCTTAAGCATGCTTTTAATCAGCTTCTTATTAATTAAGAATGAGGTTTTCTCTCAATTATTATAACATTTTAGCAATATCTCCTAATGGGGCCTTGTTGTTCAATTAGAGAGCAATTGTATCTAACAATTTTCTTCCTAATTCATGTTCTTCCATGGCTTCCAATTATGTGAAGACAGCCTTGCTTGGATCGTTTGATCTCTTAACAAAGACAGCTTGTGTGAGTGTTAATCCCAAAAGAGCGATGAGAATCAATTTCATAATTAAATTAATGTTGTACAACCAAAATCATATTGGCTTTTCATATCACACTATTCGTTTTTACTTTCTGGTAAAGAATTAATTGTTTAAAAATAAATTTATTAAAAACGACAATCATATTAAAAATAAATAGAATTATCAGATTAAGTTTTTATTTCCATCCATCATAATATTATAATTCAAATATATTCATTTATTCAATAGATATGATGGAACATCTGCAAAAGTTGGTTTGAGATTATAATTTCCTGGTCCTGGAACACTTTAATCCGTTTAATTCAGATGTGGTCTCATGGCTGTTCCGAATCCCCACTTAGGCCCATCAGATTAACCTCTTAGATTATAATTTCCAGGTCCTTTAATAAAATAAATAATAATCTTACCTGGAACATCTTTTCCAAAACCAGCATTCAGTTCAGCTCTTTAACCTGTTCCAATTTTGGCTGAAGCAGGACGTTATTTACTGGGTCCATCATTTGGATTATAAGCACCTGGTCCAGGTTAATTTAAAGTTGTTGTTGGTTCATATTTACTACCTAAAATTTAATGTTTTGGTCCCTCTCCAATTTTAGTATTCAAATCATAAGTTCCTGGTCCTGGAATATCTCTTGTATCACTTAATGGTCTTCTATTGGCACTACCTATACGAACTTATGCAGATTTAGGTCTTGCAAATTCATATCTAGATTCATATGTTCCTGGTCCAGGAGTTCTAAGCATTTCTCTATTTAAGCTATCTCTTGTTTCATTTCCTATTTTATAAGAAGGAGGTTGTAATTTTTATTTCTTATCCCAATTATAAGTACCAGGTCCTGGCACTAATTCTTACTGAGTTTAATTTCTTCTTGAAAGCATAGAAAACCCTTTTTGTGAAACATTAAATTCACTTCTTGCCTCATATTCTCCAGGACCAGGATTTTTACCTTCTGAAAAAGCTCCTCTAGATGCTGTTCCAAATTTATATTGAGGACCAGCACTATTGGGTCTCTTTAAATATGATCCAGGCCCAGGAGTACGAGTCAAATCATAAAATCCTTCACGTTTAGAATGTGGAAATCTTAAACTAAAAACTACAATTACTTCATACAAGGAACTCCTACAACTGTTGATTGATTTTCATATGCTCCTGGTCCTGGTTAAAATGTAGAGTAGTTTTATTATTGTTTGCTTCCCATTGAATAATTTGGAAGTGCCTTAATCATAGTTCTGTAATTAGGATTGTATGCTCCTGAATAAAAATCAATTCTTTATGTTTACCTGGTCCTGGTCCCTATTTTGCTAAATTAGTTGGTTTTTTAAGTCCAAATGAATACTTTGGTCCTTCTTTGGTTACTCTTGAAGGATGCTCATAAGCACCAGGTCCTGGTGCAAATACTTTCAGAAGTCCACTTCTATTACCAGATCCAAATCTATTTTAACAGGCAAAAATTACTTAAATGATGGGGGTGTCATCTTCTATTTCTTCATTGGCTAATAAGCTCCTGGACCAGGCGTTTCACTCCTGGGAATAGTGGCTGATTTCATTTAACATGATAAATACATCGTTACGCTTTACCAATTGAAAAAGCACTCACCATTTTGATTAATTTTATTTATATATAATATAAATTACACCATATGTCAAATCATTATTAGTTAAGAAATTTTGTTATGCATCTAATAATAATTTTATCATCTGTTTAGATTCATTTTATATTTACATATCAATAAGAATTATCCTTACATCCTATGTAAATAATATAAATCTATACTTAATCATCATTTTATTCTTATTTTAAATATTTCTATGTATTAAATCCATTATATATGATTTGATATAAAATTGTTAGTATTTTGATTTTAAAATGTAAATAGTGTGTATAAAAGCACAAAAGTAAATTTTATTAATTATAAAAATATAATATTAATTGGCGCCCAATTTATGAAATTCCCACGATTTGTGATCAATAATAAAATTAAATGGCGAAACAAAACAATAAGCGTCAATTTCTAGTACCTGAATATACTACAGAAGTTAGTAGTCTAAGTGAGTTCCTTGCAGAGTTTCGTGATAATTCAATAGTAGAAATTGATAATACTTATGGTTAACGCAAATATATGATTGAGTTGGTATGGCTTTATTTTAAAGTAAAATAGTAAAAAATAGCTAACAGATAAACAAATCGGATAGATATCTACGTTGAAGACCTTGAATACTTTTTCAATGATAGAATAGATTTCGTCAATAAAATAAAGACAAATACATTATCTTATCAAAGATTGTTATATGAAGCTTGTGATAGACTTATGCCTTAGCAAACTAGAGATTTTGAATAAAACTTTGATTTATTTGATGAAGAGATTAATGTACAGAGACAACAGAATTTGGATTAGGACGGAAACAACAATTAATAAAAAAGACTGCCTCCAGAATTGACTCGTAGATAGTAAATTGTTAACATAAATCTAGCCAACTATTTATAATTCGAGGTCCTTAAACAAAATAATAAATCTTATCAATACGTAATCTAAAAGCTCAATTGATTGGATCATTAATTGCAATAAAAGCAATGGTTGTTAGAACATCAGAAGTTAGACCATAAATTATAGTCGCATGTTTCTCATGTGATGCATGTGGATATGAAAACTATTAAACTGTTCATGGCAAAACATTTACTCCAATGCTTGATTGTGCAAGTGATAAATGTAGAGATAATAAAGTAAGAGGTAGATTGATATTCAATCATGGCAGTTCTAAATTTATATCTAATTAAGAAATCAAAATTTAAGAACTTAAAGAATAATTACCTAAAGGTTCAATCCCTAGATCATTTACAGTTATGGCTAGAGGAGATAGTAATATAAGAGTTTGTTCTCCTGGAGATATTGTTACTATTTAAGGTATCTTTTTACCTGTTGAAAAAGAGGGATTCTTTGCTAACAAAACTTAGTTTTATAGTACATATATAGAAGCCTATTCTATTAAAAGAGATAAAAAGAAATTTAAAGAAATTGACATAGAAAGTGTGCATGGACATAAGATTTTTGAAGATATTAAAAAATATCCATTCAGTGATTTGTATATGAAATTAGCTAAATCAATTGCTCCTGAAATTTTTGGGATGGAAGATGTTAAAAAAGCATTATTATTAATGATTGTAGGAGGAGTAAGCAAGGAAATGCATGATGGATTAAAAATAAGAGGAGATATAAATGTAGCATTAATAGGAGATCCAGGAGTAGCAAAATCATAATTGTTAAGATACATTTCTCAAGTATCACCAAGAGGAGTTTATACAACTGGTAAAGGATCTTCTAGTGTTGGTCTTACAGCTGCTGTTATTAGAGATCCAGTTACTGGGGAAATGGCATTAGAAGGAGGTGCTTTAGTTATGGCTGATAGAGGAGTATGTTGTATTGATGAATTTGATAAAATGAATGAAAGTGATAGAACAGCTATTCATGAAGTTATGGAATAATAAACTGTTAGTATTGCTAAAGCTGGTATTACTACCACTCTTAATGCTCGTACATCTATTTTAGCAGCTGCCAATCCATTATATGGAAGATATAATAAAAAATAAACACCACATTAAAATATCAATCTTCCTGCTGCTTTATTATCTAGATTTGATCTTATATTTATTTTATTAGATGAAATCAATTAAGATGCTGATACTAAATTAGCATCACATATTGGTAGAGTTCATCAAAATAAATATAAGGAAATGGAACATCAAGATTTATATTCAGTTGATGAAATTACTACATTTGTTGCTTTGTCTAAATAATATGAACCTATACTCACTTCAGAAATCCATTAATACATTGCTGATTAATATGTTGAAAGAAGAAAACAAACATTTGATAAAACACTTGATGGATATTCTTATACAACACCAAGAACTTTGTTAGCTATCATTAGATTATCATAAGCTATTGTAATATTTTATACATTTCATATTTTAGGCTAAATTACAATTGGCTGACAGAGTTACACAAAGAGATGTTGAAGAGGCTATTAGATTGATGGACATATCCTAAGAAAGCGTTAGGAGAGCATAATAAATAGATGGTATCTATTTTATTTATAACTTAGACACTGTTTAAAGAAAGGATAAAACTGCTAAATTATATGAACTCTTATCATCTTTATGTAATAAAAATAAAGGAACCATTACTAAAGATCAATTTATTAGATAAGCTATGAGTAAAGGATCTTAAATGCAAGAAATTGAAGAGTTTTTAAATACGTATTCATCACTTAATCAAATTCAAATTCATGGAGATCAAAACGATAGAATTACTCTAGTTTCATGAATTATTGTATTTTATATGAATCTTTATTTTCCAAAAAATAATATAAATATATATTTATATTAATTCAATCTATACTTATAATAAACTTCCTTACATTTTATTTTATAGTTCTAAAAAAAACTATTTTTCATAAATTTTCTTATTATTTAGGATGTAAATTTTATAAAAAATCTTTGATAATCATTATCATAATTTTTAAACCATTTTGTAATTGAATTTCAATCTAAGTAGAAAATTATCTATTTTATGTAAACCTATTTATTTTTTCTGCTAATCTTATAATTCACAAGGATAAACATAAGCAAAGATCTTTTAATTAATAACTTTGTAGCTAAACCACCAATCATAATGTTTCATTATTGAATTAATTTATGGAAGCTAATTTATAATCATGAAATTTGTAGATAAAATATTATTCTCAGGTGAAGGTTCAATTAAAAAAATTGATATCTAAATTTACCCCACTTAAATTTTTTTTAATTCTAAACTCCTCCATTTAGGATATCTTAATTTGTTTTCCAATTAATCTATATTATCTCTTAAGAATTTTCCATTTTAAATATAATCTAAGTCTTTTAATGCACCCTTCCCTTTCATAATCTCTTTGAAAAAAGATATAATTTTATTTTTTAAAATAATTAAAATATAATTTAGCCTATTATTTGGTGATTAATAATTCTAATTAAAACATTCCTCATAAAATTTTTTAGCCTCCTTCAATTATTAGTATAAATTGTCTAAAAATTAATCTTCATTAAAAATATTCTTTAATTTATCATATAAAATTAATTAAATAAAACTTGTAAGTTTAGAGCACTCTTAATTGAATTAATCTAAAAATTGTTTCAATTCTTCAAGGATTTATTTTTTTAAATCAATCACCAATTGTTAAATATTTTAAATTAGATGTTTATGATATATATATTATTTAAAATTGAATCTGGTAAATAAGTGATTTCTTTTTAAATTCAAAAAATCATATATATTTTAAAAAAATGCTTTTTGGTTATAAATTTCCTCAAATTTTTTTAAAGGAACAATAAAATTAGATTATTCATGTTTTAAAAAATAAGATGTGATATCGTGATCCTCTGGATTTGCTTTATTTTTTATTTATTTTAAGAATTAATTCGTGGTTTCTAAGAAATTATTATTTTGAGATTCAATTTTATTCAATACCATTAAAATTCGATTGTTCATGCACAAATATTTAAGGTGTTCTTTACTTAGTTATGAGCTGATTAAATTAATGGGTTCTTCAATGCATTATATATTTTATGAATTAAATTCGATAACAAGAATAATTATTACTTATGAATACTTATTAATCAAATTTCTTAAATGAAAAGAAACTATGATTTCCTCGGTTGTTGAATTTAAGTCCTAAAATCCAGGTGTATCAATAATGTCAAATTAATCATTATAATTATAAATATTAGGAGTTTATGTTTATTAGGATTCTTCCATACAAATTGATGAGATAACTCCTTTTGGATTTTAAACATTGAATTAATTTTTATTATCTTTCTCCAATTTGTCACCTTTGAGAACATGATAAATAGATGATTTTCCGACTTTTTTTTATCCAATAATTAAAACAGCAGTAGCATTTTTATTTATTGATAAATTTTAAAATTTTTGATTATGTTCTTGGTATTTTTAAATAAATTTAACCATATTGACATAAGTTTCCTAGTTTTATTATTAATTTAACAAAAATACATTTAATTCTTATTGTTATGCATATTATTACTTATTGGAATTTTTTGAATTAGTTTAAAGTTCTATTTCTATTTCTCTTTATTGTCGATAAAAACTTTAAGTTCTGTTGGATGTATTCATAAAGTTAAGTTTTTCTATTAAAAATAAGAACAGAGTATTTTTTTAATTTAAAAATAATGTTAAAATATATTGACGTAATCACATTTTTTAGATTGAGAAAATCTATTAAAGATTTTCCTCAATGTCTTAGATGTATTGCTGTATTTCATTTTTTTATTTTAAACCTTTAACTTTTCCTTTTTAATAAATAGCTAAAGATTCAGAATAAAAGCTAAAGGCAACATTTAACTAATAATTAGAATATAATGGTACATCTTTAAGTTTGTATGCTAAATCAGCAACTTCTTTAAGTAGAAAAGCAGTTTCCATAGTTAAATTATTAGTTCTTTGAAATTGTCTAGCCCATAATCCAAGTACTATAAATATAATTGAAAATTTAACTTGCTAATCCATCAGATATTTTTCCTTAGGCGACTAAAATTTCAACTTTGATATCAATTAATGATTTAATTTCAAGTTGATCTGTATTTTATTAAATTCCTTCTTCAACTAATTTAAGTGCATCATCAATTTCATTATTACTCATGAGACATCTTGAAAGTTCAGTGTATAATTTAATGACTTCAGTTCTACATAATCTTATTAATCTAAAGTAGAATAAAGAATGAATTACTCAGAGTAAAGCTCCCCTTATTTTAATTCATCCATAGTATCTTTAGCAGCTTAAAGTACTCCATAAGCTTTCTATTAACTTTCAAAGTTAAAATAGAATGAACCTAATTAAAAAAGAGATTAAAATAATTTTATTTTATTAACTGGTTCTTTGACAATCTCTTCATCATCAATTTGCCATGTTATAGCAATTAAGAATGGAATAAATGATGACTTTTCCATTTTAGTGAAGATATAAACAGCATATTCTAAATTACTTCTGGCTTTTTCTATATTCATAAGTTTTAAATAAATTAAACCAATTTACATTGAATTATAAGCACTATGATTATTAAACTTACCTTTAACCATTTAGAATTATTTTGAAGATTAATGATATAAATCAATAGCTTCATTAGGTCTTGTATGAGCTTTCACTTTAGCTTAATCTTAGAGTAAATGAGCAACTTCTAATTATTCTTTAACTCCTTTTACATTTGACTTTCTTATTGTAACATACTTTTAACTAATTTATTCTAATACTCTTTCTTATCCAAGATGTTAAGATAACACCCATATTCTTTCTAAAATATATTCACATTCAGGAGATGTTTCACCAAAACATTCTTCTACATCTGGTAGCAAATATTGCCATTAATCAAGAGCAGCTTAATATAAATAAAGATTGAAATGAACTTCTGCTATTAAATTTTTAGATCTAACATAAGATTAATATGATGGAGCTCCAATCTTCTTTCTACTTCTTTATGTTAATTCAGGTAATTTTAATGCTATTGCAGGCATATCATCTTGACTATTATTTGTTGGTTAATATAATTATTTAACAAAAGAAGATGTATTATTATTATTATTATTATTATTGTTATCACCAGAAACAAAACTATTTTATTATTAAAATTGATTAGATTATTTACTTTTATAACTAGATTATGATTAAGGTCTATAATATGCATTTTAATTTGAAAAGAAATGCTGCATATCTTCAGTAAAATCATAATCATCTACTTCATATTCTGTTTGCATTAATTGATTTAATGAAAATTCTAATCGCTTAATAGGATCTATTGATAAAAATCTTAATATTAAAGCACTTAAAGGATTGTTTTATTCAAAATTAATTGATTTATTTGATTTATCAATTTAATCATCATTGATTCCAGATCTTTTTTTTGGAATGAGTTAAAATAATAAACCTTGCATTTTTTATTCATCTACATATTGAATATTTGGAATATCAAAATAGAGCTATAAGAGTATTAAACCTATGTTATAACGTGTTACTGCTCTAAAATCTTTAATGGGTTCTCTTCTTTTTATTTCTGGTGGTTTGATATTCTTATGTAATGATAAATGTGTATAAACTTTTTCATAATCATCATACATTGACCAGACTTCTTTATAAGCAGCAATTTATAAAAAGGGTATCAAATTTGTTGTTGAAATTTTGAATTATCCTCCTTTAGTTATTAATATTGATTCCATGTTTAATTCTAGAATAGCTATTCCTAATCTTTCAATTGAATTTACAAGCTACATTATTTTAAGAGCAAAATGGAGTTTTTGATCATAAGAAAATTTACCCATTTCTAATTTTTTAGAGTAAATATTTTAAAAAGGTATATATTACTCTGTAATGTATACTAATGTTAAAAGCCCATTTTATGATAATTCAGATATTGATGTGTTAAGAGTTCTAAATCTCATAGTTTTTTTTTCTCTAAAAACAATAGGAGTCTTAAGAACTTATATAAATGGTAAATTATCATGTTTTGAACTAAAATAATAATGATAGAACATTGATCTGATACTTTTTGAAGAACTCAATAAATGTTCAGGCATGTTTTCAATTTAATACATGCAACTAACTTGATATACATTATAAATTACTTGTTTTATCAATTTAGCCAGCATAATATTGAATTTAGGTACTGAATTCTGTGTTTGTAAAAGTAGGTCTGCCAAAATAACAATCTGATACTAAAATTTTATACTCAATTTCTATAAATGAATCATTCATTTGATCAGGTGTTGTAATATACAATAGTTCAAATTCTTTATGAATAAGATTATTATATGCAAAACAATTCTGATAGATTTTAAACTTAATTTCAAATGGTCTTTGTTCATAAAAGTCTGATCTCTCTATAATATTGATTGGAGGTAATTTAACTGGTTCTTCTTTCTTTCCCCAAAAAGCAATCATTTCTTTCATAGTTGATAGATCTCTTCCCATATTTCTCATTCCAGCAGGCTTCTTATTCTCAGAAATTGCTCTAAGACGCATATTTAATTAAAATAATGAATGAATCATCTACAATATCAACTTATCTTAGAACAGAAACAGATGAAGTCAAAGAATATAGTGGTAATTTAATGACTTAAAGAAAAAAAATACCATAATTGAAAAACTTGATTTTACCTAGAAAATCGAAGCAGATTAAATTCAATCCAATTATTGATTCTGTGAGAAGCAGTTAAAGTTAAAGATCTTCTAAAGGAAATATAGCACTTTAGACACATAATATCAATATGCTATTTAAAGATTCTTTTGAATTATTTTTAGATGGTAAAATAACAAGTATTGAATTACTGCAATTATCCAACTATCCTAGATTAAGATAATAATTAATGGAAGATCATGCTGATTCTAAAGGAATTAGTATACTAGGACCATTAGTAAGATTTAAAAATAAATTTAAACACAAATAAGTTAGAAATTCATAAGATGATAGGAGTGTCTACTTAAAATCTAAATTACAAGGATTAAATAATTTAATTCATACAAGGATGATGTAAAAGAAAGAAGACAATGAAACTTAAAGAAGGTAAAATCTATAAAATGTTGGATTGTTTAAAACTATTGTTGATGCTTCTGAAGGAATCGAAGATAAATTAGCTTAAACTAGAGATCCTTTTGCTAAAAAGATCCCCTCTATTAAATCATTAAAGACTATGACAGTCAGTTATGATGATTTGAAACCAAGTATTATTCTTATCTATTCAAAGTTATCAAAAATTCAAAAGAAATTCCAGCTATTTCTAAAATATTTTTAAAAAACAATCTAACTGAATCAACAAAAAAATATTTAGATGAAGCTTCAAGATAGCATTATTTAAAATAATAAGAATTAAATAAGCTTTCTAAAATGTAGATTACTAAATCAACCAATTCCAAATTTTAGTTATATAATAAAGATGTATTAACATCCAAAGATTTATAACTATATGATTATTTACACAACAAACCAAAACCAATTATTCTGAGAAATCATTTTACTGAAATGGATGAAGATACTATTCCATCACATGAAATTATAGCTTCTAAAATTGGAAATTAAAGACTCAAAAAAAGATATCATAAAATTGAATAAAAAATACATGAAGATTTAGAAAATGAATCTCATACTTCTTCATTATAATCTACTTATGAAATTCATCTAGATAATTTATATTCTTAAACAGTTGATTTAAAAAAACAACTAACTAAAAAGACTACTCTTCCAAAAAAAGTTAAATAAATGATTAAGCTCGATGAACTTAATTAATAATCTCTACAGGCAAATACATTCAAATTGATACATTGAAAAAATCATATTTATATATATTATCAGATTTTTCTTATATTTTAAAGTCTAATTAAATGTCGTTCTTCAACATCTTTAATAGTATTTAATTTAACAGAAGAAACTTGACTTTTTAGTTTGTTTATTGCAAATTAATCACTTTATTATTGCTCTTAAAGAATTTTAATTTATTTTCTTAAATGTTAATTTGATTCAGTAACATCTTCAAATTACTTTTTATATATTTTCTCCTCAGCGTTTTAAGTTTAATATATTATTGTTTATTTGCTTACATAATCTTCATATTGCATTGTTTTACGTTGAAATTTTTCATTTTATTCTTTCAATTATTTAATCTATTCTTCTTATTAAATCAATAAATTTAATTAATCCTTTGCTTGATCTGATAATTCTTAAAGTTATTTTTATTAATCAGTCATTATTTCTACTTTTTCTTATAAATTTAATTAATTTTCTTAGGTTTCTACTTTTTTTTATTAAATTTCTCTTTCTAAATCTTTTTAAATATCTTCTAGACCTTAGATTTATGATTTCAAAGTCTTGATTATTAATTCATATTCATTCTTCATTTATAATTCTTTAGATTCAAATTCTTAAATTTATTTTTCTAAAGTATTTTTAAAATGTGCTTGCATAGAGTATCTAATTTATTCCATTTTGTCTGAAAATTCTCTTTATGATACATCATAATCTAATTTTAATTATTTAGAAACAATTTAGCAAGTTTAAGTTGAAACTAATGATAATTCTTTTTAGACTTAGAACCTAAGCGTTTCCATTTCCAACTTTAAACCTTAAAAGATCTTTTACAAATTTACTTTGATTTTATTCTTAATTTCATCAACTTTCAATTTAAAATTTCTTAACCTTCTTTTATAAATTTTTTCTTATTCATTTTACAAAGTTTTAATATTAGACTAATCTTATTAATTCTTTTTCTTATATCTCTCTACTTCTTCATTCAAATCTATTAATTTAGTTTCTAATGACTTTATTTATTTGTATTATATTTCATTTTATGATTTCAATTATTTAGATCTATTTTCTAAACATTGTTTATCAATATTTATTGTTTCATTTGTTTTTTTTAAATTTTATATCTGTTATCTTAATTAAGTAACAGTTTCTTATTCTGTTTTCAACTATCCTTTTAACTATTTAAAATCCTTTCCAGCATGCTATTATAATTCTCTTTCTTTTGTTAAAGCAACCTATTAATCACTAACTACTTATTCTAATTCTGCCAATTTTTATTATAAATTAAAAAATTACTCTTTTTCTTTTTATTTATAACTATCTTATATTTAATTCAAATTTTGTTCAAATTCTTCTGCTAATTCTTATTTTTATTATAAAATATTTTCTTGCATAATGTTTAACTTTTATTCTATTTCTCCTAAGGCTATTTACAATTCGTCTATTTATTTATTTTGTTCTTTGATGATTTTTTATTTATCTGTTCTATCTTCATCCATTTCTCTTAAATCCTGTCTTAAAGAAAGACATTCTTAAATAGAACATTCTAATTAAGTTTTCGTATGAGCATGTTCTTTTTTCCAATATAATTCTGTATGATTATCAAGTGCTTATTCAAAAATTGATTATAATCTATTACAACTAATAATATTTCATACTTGATTAAAATATCTTAAGAATCACTTCTCTGAGCTAAAAGTTTCTTTAATTCTTGATCTAATTTAATTTACTACATAGTTTATTAGAGTAGAGCTTTCATATTTAATTAAAATAATATAAATCATTCACCATGTTTTAAAAACCCAATAAATTTATCTCTAAAACTAGAAGGCTACTGTTGTACTTATGATTAATTCTATCTATTTCGATATGGATCTACATTTTATTAAAATTTACTTATTTTTTCTTTTTCATCTTTAGTCAAATCTAATAAACTTGCTAAAGTTTCTAATATTTACACTTTCACTTTGAAATCAGAATTAAAATCAAAATATTAAATTAGAACATTTGTAATAACTCTTTTATCAACCATATTATTAGCATAATTTTAATCTTACCTAATTTTATTATGAAGAGCTTATGCCTCTGATTTAAGATCCTCATGAGATCTTAAAATAGATTCATGTTTTATAGTTAATTCTTCTACTTATAATTTTAATTAAGAATTATTTAATTTCAGTTTTTCATTATTTTCCTTTAAAAATTTCAATTAACTTATATCTTCTTTACTAATTTCAGATCGTAATTTCTTAAATTCTTCCTAAAACTTTTTTATCATTTTTTCCTTCTGATCCTAACAAACTATAATTCAACAATACCTTTTCTGCTTCTAATTAAAGTTATGCTGCCTAAATTCCACTCTATAATGATTAGTTTTCAAGTTACCATTCCTCTAATAGTTTTTCTAATCGATCAATTTCTTCCTATTTCTACTCTAAAAGTGTTCGAAGATCCTGCTATTTTTGTAAATCTTAATTACTTTATTACAACTGAAAGTATTATATAATTATTATACCTCCTATTCTTTTTATTTTAGCTTAGCCTTAAGATTCTCAGATTCGTTGAAATTTTATTTTATCTCTTCAGCATAATCTCTTTTAATCTTATCCCATTCTTATTGATATTTTTCAAGTTCTTTTATTCTATTTTATAAATCTTTTATTTAATTATTTGAGCTATTTAATTTTTCTTATAAATCTACAATTTTTTTTTGTAAATTTGCATTTTCATTTATTAATTACTATTCTTTTTTACTCTACTATTAATCTTGTTTTTATTGCAATATTTCACTGCTTGTATTAAGAAGTGATTTCTCTATTAAAGCTACAATCTCTTTAGATTATCCCTTTTATTATCTAAGTTAAAGAAATCTATCATAAAATGTACTCTAACGAGATATTGCTATAAAAAATTAATTTATCAATGATCCAATATCTCCTATTGATTATTATTCGATTGCCAATTAATCATTTAATTTATTTAATGATTCTTAATAATTATTTTGAATTTACAAAATCAATACATCCAACTGTTTAGATGAATTATTGACAATTTCATTTATTTTATCTTTAAAAGATTCTTAATTTACTTAATTTTTACTATTAAAATCTTCTTTAATTATTTCTTATTATTCTTATTGTTAATCTTTTTCTTCTATCAAAGAATTCCCCTTAATTTCTTCTTTGATATTTTATTTTTCTCCCCATTAAACATTTATTGTTTATTATATAGATGAAAATGTTCTTTAAATAGTTTCTTTTATTTCAATAAAGAGAGAATTATCAAATTCATTTTTTTTAATTTCTTACATTTCAATCTTTTTTTCAATTTGAATTGGAGATGTTGGTTCATTAGGACTTTTTGTTGATTCATTAACTTTTTTAGATTTATCTTAAGGACTTTAAGCTAAACCATATCCTTTTTATAATTAAGCAAATGCTTATTGAAAATCTTAATTAGCACTATTTGTTTAATTTTCATTCTCTTCAGCATCAACTGTTATTAAATCTTTTGCAAAATCTTTTACTTTTGATACTGCTCCACCAGCTTTACTTCTTAATTAAGTAATTTTATTCCAACCAAGCATTCAATATAATATTATAAAATATTTAATAAATTACATCTGATATAATCATCTATATATTTTTAATAAAATTAAAACTCAAAGAGCAGTGAAGTATAAGTTTAGATAATTCATTCATTAACTTAATACAAAATATATTTTTAAACAAATTACATTAGCATATCTAAATGATAAATATATCTATTTGATTTTTTATTATTTTCTTATATCAAATATGACTTTGAAAAAATAAAATTGAACTCTAATTTTACTCTCAGAAGTTTAAATTATAATTTTTATTTATTTAATCCAAATTTAATAAGCTAAAATATCTAAAATTAAAAATATCTCATTTTTTTGAAAAAAATTGAAACCGAGAATAATAATAAAAAGCAATAGAAGCAAACTTATCTTATTAATGATTAAATAGACAATCAATTTTGATTAAATCTAGCCAAAAATTCAGTTTCTTAAAAATATATTTTTATTTATTTCTTCAATTATATTTTAAAATTATAATAACTTTGAGCAAATTTCTTTATTGAAAAAAATTTTTTATAAAATATAATTTATGATTTTAAAATTTATCTTTTTTTTGTAAATTTAAAGTGTAAAAAATAAAAAATTCTTGAAAGCAAGTCAGTAAAAATATCTTTTGCTCTATTTTTTTGATTCATAAGCAATTAACACTAATTATTCAATTCTTTATCTACTAATGCTAGGTCTAACCAGCAAATTAAACAACTATAATTGATTTTAAATATAGAATGATATTATAGTCATAGAATGTAAAATAATAAAAGTGATAAGAATTAGCATAATAATATTTATATAATAAATATTTATATATTTAACAATTATATTTATTTAATTCTCAAAATGGAAAAAAATTATATTGTGTTAGTATAGGAATCAATATGTTTTTTGAGTCTATTTATGGTGAGTAATTTTTCTCAATTTGAAAAAGAAATTGAGCAGATAGAGAATAAAAATAGCCATTTAAAGAGGAATTTGAGAAAATGAATGAAGATGAGAAGGGGATATTAATTGGTGAAATAAGTTAGGTAAAGTGTCAATATTAGAGAAGAAATTTAGCAAACAATATAATAAGATAGAAACTTGATAGAATGAATTGGACATTATTACATATGATTTTAGCAAAGTTATCAGTAGATTTTGATGAAAAATTCACATTCAAAATAAATATATTTTTAAATCTCTTGTAAGAATGAATGAAATTGATGGTTGTTAATTTTATCCTTGCAAAGAATGTGCAGATGACAATATTTCTATGTAAAGATAATTTAATAGTTGATTTTATGTAATATTTATGCATGTTACATAATGTAATTAATTAATAAGAGATTGAATAAGGTAAAAAAATAATTAATAAATAAGACTTTAGTTAATTGTAGTAGTATAGTAAATGATAAATGGAATGGAGAATATGGATGTTAAGTAAATTAAAAGTGAATATCATAAAATATAGTCTAGATTAGAATTGAAAAATACATAAATATAATTAATAATGGGTTGTGGTTCATCTGATTCTGCGTCTGCAAGTAATCCTAGAAAATAAGAACAATAACGAGAGTTTACAGGGGAAAAGATATCATAAGAGATCTTTGTAGACTTAAAAGATGGGAACATATATGATGAATATGAGGTCGGGTCAAGTTTAGGGGAAGGAGCATTCGGTTGTGTAAAATTAGTTGCTCATCGTAAAACTAGTATTGGTACATAAAATATATTAGAAATGAAATATGCTATGAAACAAATAAGGAAATAGGGACTAATTAAGGAGGATCAAAAAGTTCTATTTAGTGAGATGGACATTTTGAGGTTAATTGACCATCCTAATATTGTTAAGTTACATAAACTATATTAAGACAATATCCATTATTATATGATTACTGAATACTGTTAAGGAGGAGAACTGTTTGATAAACTGACAAATGAAAAGAACTTTACTGAGAAAAAGGCAGCTGTAATTATAAAATAAATCTTATCTGCTTTGACATATTGTCATGAAAGGAAAATCATTCATAGAGATTTAAAATTAGAAAATATATTATTGGAAACTAATAGTTCGAATTCAAATATTAAAGTTATAGATTTTGGCACTTCTCGTAAAGTATAAGAAAATGAAAAATTAAAATTGAAAATTGGAACTGTATTCATTTACATTAAATTTAAGTTATATTATATGGCTCCTGAAGTGTTTTAAGGTCAATATGATCTAAAAGTAGATGTATGGAGTGTTGGTGTTATTTTATATATTTTATTATGTGGTTATCCTCCTTTTAATGGAGATGATACAACAATAAAAAAGAAAATTCAAAAAGGAACTTTCGAATTCAATGGTATATTATCATTAAATATGATATTTAGATCCTGATTGGAGGTCTATTTCACAAGAAGCAAAAGATTTGATAGTTAAAATGCTCAAATTTGATCCATAATAAAGAATTACAGCTCAACAAGCTTTATAAGATCCATGGATTTAATCAAAAGCACCAAATACATTAGTATAAGCTAATGCTCTCAAAAATTTAAAAGATTTTTATGTATGAAAATGAAACCTTTATTTAGAGTACTTCAAAATTAAAAAATGCTATATAAATATTTATCGTCACTCAAGTTTCAACTTATTAGGAAAAGGAAGAGTAATTAAAATAATTTAAAGCTATGGATACTGATGGTAATGGAACTATAAGTCCATAAGAATTAAAAAAACATTACTCTAAACTTTATGGAATGGAGTAAGCTGAGAAATTAGTATAAGAAATTATGAAATAAGTTGATATTAATTAATCAGGATAAATTGATTTTAATGGTAATTCTATTCTATATGAATTATTTAGAATTTTTAGTTGCTGCTGCTAACAAAGAAAAAATACTATCTTAAGAGAAATTGAAGAAGGTATTTTAAATGTTTGATAAAGTAATGAATTAATTAATTTTAGAATGGCGATGGGAAAATTCAAAGAACAGAACTTTAATATATTATGTCAGGTATTAAGATAGATGATGTTTAATGGAAAAACATTTTGGAAGAATGTGATAAGGATAATGATGGAGAGATATCTTTAGATGAATTGATAGCATTGATGCAAAAGTTAAAGTGAATTTGATTAATATATTTAACAAAAATATTTAATGAAATCACTCATCTTTGGAACCATATTGTTATCTATAACATTAAGTTAAATTACATATGAAGAATGTAAACGGGATTGTACAATGGATTGGCTTGATTGCACAAGTGGTTGTGATAGTATTGGTAATCCTTAATTTTGTCATAAAAATTGTTAGAAGTAGTAAAAAACAAATATTTAGTGTTGTTCATGGATGTTTAGATGAATGTCCAAAAATAATATGCATTGACGAGTGTCGAATTATATTAGAAGAATGTCGTAAAAACGGAAAAGGAATATGCGAGTTGCATTTTAATCAATGCTAATTGATATGTGAAGATACTTATAATGAAAATTAAGATATATGAATAAATAAGATAAATATTGAGATAGTGTAGGAATGCATCAAGATTATATAATAAATAATAATAATATATAATCAAGATTAAAACGATGAATTTTTATTCCGTTTTTGTATTATTAAAAATAAATATGAAAACATTCGTAGTGATTTGCCTCGTAGCAGCTGTGTTTGCTCTTGACACAAACAAATTTGCTGTGCTTCTTTAAGCAGGCACAAGAGGAAATGATGCTGTCGAATCAGTTTACAATCTCTTAAGAGATTTGAAGACAGAAAATGTTAATGTGTAAGCTGCTGCCGATAGAAAGAACAATACAGATGAAGGTAAACAATTGAATCATTTTAGAAATCTTTTCATAAGTTATTGGTGATTTGACAAATGTTGCCTCATTAAATAAATAATAATGGGAAGCACTTGGAGGTGTAAGAACAGATGTTGAAGCTTAAATCAGAGTATAAATACTAATTAATTCATTAAGGATGGATATTAATGGTTAGCTTGGGCTGAAGCTAGACTTGCTGAAATTGAAAGAAGAAATGCTTAACTCCAAGATTAAAGATGTTGGGCCAATGGATTATTTGTCAGATCCCTTGCTGATCATGCTGATGCCGTCGCAGTTGTTACACTCTTATAATAAGATGTTGCTGGTTTCCTTACAAACAATGCTGGAGTTGAACTCGTTGAAAAAGCCTAAACCATAGCCGATAAATTATCAGCATATAGTCATCTTTTCTAATAAGATGCTATTCAAAAATTCTAATCACTTGCTGAAGTCAAGAGAGAAGGTACAACTGGAGAATAAGTCCTCTAAATCTTATTTGACTTATAAGCTGAATTAGAATCCACTCTTGCCACCCTTTAAGAATAAGAAATTCATGCAGCATTTGCACTTGCCAAATATGTATCAGATACTAATGCTGAAGTTGCTTGGTTAAATTCTGAACATGAAAGAAGAACAGGACTTGTTGAAAAATTAGAAACTGTATTATTACTATTTCATTATTTTCTTAGCAACTCCCAGCCGTTCTTGCTTAATAAGCCAAAGCTCTTAAACTCTGGAAAGATTCCTTGAACGCTGTTGCTGGAGCCACTGCCGATTTAGAAGAAAAAAGAGAATTCTATGCCTCCGAAACTGCCAGAAGAGCCGGTACCATTTATCACAATAATCTATAGAGGAAAATGCCATTATCGATGTTGTCATCTAATTGTTCAAAGATTAAGTTAGAGCCTTAGCTTCATAGACCAGTCTTGGAAGAAAGTGATTACCATAATACAAATATATTCAATTTAAAAAATGAATCATTTACATCATTTTAATCTCATTTCTCCATTTTTCAAGGCTCTATTTTTATGCTTTATTTATATATTTTCATTTAATATTTTTAATTTCTATTATAATATTATATTCTTCAACCTTATTAATGAAAAATATACTTCATATTTATCTAAATTATATTTATAACAAATTCTTCAAATCTATAGAATTTCTTCTTTTCATTCTCAAGCATTTTTATTAATTATATACTTTTAAAAATAAAATAAATTAAATTGATATTCTATATTAAATTACTAGAATATATATAATTTGAATCAATTAATAGAGACTTATAATCTCTTAATTATAAACTAAGTATCATATAAAACAAGAACTAACTTAATCAAGTTTAATAAATAATATGATGTTTGTATTATTAAATTTAGTAAGGTTAATTGTTGATCTTACATTATTTTTAATTTTATTTATTATATGAGTTTGTAGAATTATCTTAAGAATTGATATTTTCAATCGTTCAATTAAAATACATAAAGCAATTTAAAATCTTTAAGATTACCATGGACCCTTTTAACTATAATTTTAAAGTTTATAAACCGACTAGACACCTAGTCATATGAACTAACTTCAGCAACAATAAAAGTCAAATTATAAAATTCTAATGTTAAATTTTTGAAAAACAGCTACTCAATAGTTCTAACAGTTTGAAGCATGTATACAATCATATTTATTAAAACGACAGCAAAATATTGAATTATTTATTAAATAACATAGGAACTCTTAAACGAACAAAATTCTTTCTTTTTCTTTTTTAGTATTAAATCAGGAAGGTGAAGATCCTGTGAAAATGAGAATGGCATATCATATATTTACTCATATATTATAAATATTAATTATCAAATGAAGAATTCATTCAAAAAAATAGTGAATTCTATTTGATTATATGAATTATATTTTTTAAATTAGCATCATTTTCTATGGATATTTATCAAAAAAAATACAAAGATAAATTCGAAAAAACAAAAAGGGATATATTGAAAATTGGATTGATATTAAAATCTTTTAAATCAAATAAATGAGGAAATAGAAATATCTATAAAATTCAATAAACTGATTTTTTCCAAAAAAATATTTATAATTGTATTCTTTTAGTAATTTTCTAATTTCTAAAAGAATATCAAGAGTAAAATATCAAATAAAATTATGATCCATTTATATTTTAATTAAATATCTATTTAGATGGGTATGAAAGAAGCCTTTTATACATAGATGATAATTAATTCTGAGAAAAGCTGTAATAAATTGAAAAATAAATGTTATTTTAATAGCTGATAAAGTATAAGTTTTTATTAAGAATGATACATGTATATTTAACAATAAATTTTTCTTTTGAAATCAATATTCTTAATAATATTGCCTTCTTTTTAATGAATAAAAATTCTAGTATCAGGTAAATCTTTTAATTAGATATATACATGTTCTAATTCTATTCTAATAATTAAGAGAAGATTTGGATTATTTGAATTGAAAAACCTAAAAATTGTTAGTTTATTAAAGAATAGTAAATAATAAAATGAAATTAAATTATTAAATTAAATTACATTATAAAAGGGGGGAAATATAAATTTTATTATACATAAATAAAAATTATGTTAACTTCGTCTATTGTGAGTGTTGATTCTAGCAAAGTATACAAACCTAAGTCAAGTCAAGTTGGGATGTTATCTACAGCAATTAGCAAACTAGGTGATTCTAGTTTTGTTTCAAGAAGCAAAGAGTCTACAAACATGTCTCCTCTTAGAATGAGATTATTTAGAGATTCCTCTCCAAAATAAACCAAAGGTTTACAAGGAGTAGTTGTTGGAGAATATCAGTAAGATCATTATATAAATAATTTAAGCCCTTTAACGCCCACTCATATAGTGTTTAGCAGTATTCATAAAAGCACATCTCCTTTGAGATCTAGTAGAAACTACAATGAATCTCCATCAAGAGCAAAGGTAAGAATAGATAGATTTAAAAATTGGGATTCGAAGTTAGGACTAGAACTCCAAATATAAAATACCAAATTTACACGTCTTAATAATGAATTGACTTATTTAAGTCATTAACCTCATCATTAAACCACAAAGTCAGCTATTTTCTTGGGCAGTAATTTAAGTAGATTAGGTGTTAGTGGAAATTAAAGTGATATCAGACTTTTAACAGCTAAGTTGAATGCTATTCCACCCTCATAATTTGGAACCTTTACTTCAGGGTAATAAATATTATATTATAATAATAGTCATTCTCATGAATTATCTTCATTACAATAATCATTAAGTAGAATCATGAAATCGAGCCGACAGTATTGAACAAAATTGATTAATATATTATATTAAAATAATATAAAATGGATATTAAAATAATAACTTAAAGAGATACATTCTTAATCTACAAAGAGATCTAAACATTAAAAGAATTAAAGGACGAAATGAAATTAAAGGGGATATAAACAAGAAAAATAATCATTTAGTACCAAAGCTATTTCTACTTAAGCTTAGCTTTTATGATAATGATTAAGATAAAGTTGTGATAATAAATGACGAAGATCTTTAGTATGCTTACCAGTAATCCAAGGCAGTAAAAAAGTAGTCGATCAAATTTTATGTTTATTATAAATTGAGTCAACCTAAGATAATCTTTTAAGAACCCTAGATAGGAATTTCAGTATAACAGCCTTAAAATGATTGGATAAATTCATCCTTTTAGAAAGATAGCAGTCAATCATTAATATATTCCAATCTACAGAATAATAATTCATTTTGTTAAAATAGATTTTGTATTATACCAGAGCCAGAGCCGACAAGAGAAGAAAAATTAAAATAGGTTGTTGATTCATTCATTGATTAAATATTAAGAGAGGAATACAAAATATTATGATATCTATACATTTATATATATGTATAATTACAGATATATTTATGATTATAAGCTTATTTATTATATAATGTACTTATGTATATCAATCATTTTCTGGCTGCTAAGGCAACTTGAGTTGCAATTCTATTTAAGTCTTATTATCCTTCTTTGGTAACAATTCTTGATCCCTTTTTCAAGAGTGATTTGCTATCCTTCTTTAAAACTTTAATGGCTTCCAATTATTGAAGCAAGTATCTTATGACTTTTCCAGATCCTGATTCATGCTTTCCATTATCATTCATTGAACCAAACATATGAGTAAGATTTCCAACACCCTAAAGAATATATTTAATAATTATTTATACCCAATGACCTCTAACATAAATTTTACGAGCAAGTGCTGCAGCTCTAACATACATCCAATCTTAGTCAATTGGTGAGATTTCTTTTCCAAGTCCTGTCTTTACAATTGAACCCCATTCTGGAATTTTAATCTTGTTATTTTTTTTCAAATATTCAGCATAAGCACGAATGAAATCTTAAGCAGGTACGTCCTTTTAAATTTTAATACTTATTCATACTTTGACGGTGAAGAATGGTGTTGACATATGAAAAATTAAATTATTTTTTGAATATTTGCAAGATTTTAATTGATAAATAAATAAAAATATTTAATTGAGTATGTTTAAACATACTTTTTCTATTTAAAATGAAATAAGATTGATATATATATTTATAAATATTGCAGAATTTAAAAAATAAAGACTAATTAAGTTATTAGATAAAGTATTTAAGTGAATTAGAAGAATAATGTATAATTTAATTGAAAAAAAAATGAAATATAATTATAGATTAGAAACTTAATACAATATAAAATGAGTATAAGAAATAAAAAGATTAAATTAGTAGAAGAATTGTTTGGAGAGATGTGTGAGAATAGATTGAGGTAGAGTAAATAAGAAAATTGAATAGATTGTATGAAATAATAAAAAAATTTGAAAAGGATGGAGAGATGAGATAAGAGATGTTAGAAAATTGTAATAGAAAGTAGTTGATAGGATGTTAATAATATTATAAGAAAATGGGTATAAATATTAATAAATTAATTATATACATAAGCATAAATCGATCCGTTTTTAAAAACATTAAATAAATAAATGCAAAAATTAGCTATCTTGACATTGGTTCTTGCTCTTGCAGCTGCTAAGTTTGTAGATACACATGCAAGCTTGGCTTAAATTGATGCTAATCCATTTGGAAATGTAGTGTTATCAGCAATCAAAGCACACTTGTAAGCTTAAACACCAGCCAATGAAGTTAATATGTTATTGAACGGTGTTGCTGCTGGATTATAATAAGATTAAAATGACCATGACCATGCTTTTGAACTTGATACAACCACAAACAATAGAGTAAGAATAAGAAACAATATAATAGATTGTTGAAGATTTAGAAAAGGAAATCTTGTATCACTAAAATTAAATCTCATCAAATACATAATTGAGAGATGACACAATTGAAGCTTTGGCTGTTTCTGAAGAAGATATTAGAGTCGTTATTTAAGACATTGCAACAAATGAATAAACTTATGCTAGAGAAGAAGCTACAAGAAATTAATAACACGAAACCTTTGTTGCTAAGGTTGCTGCTATTGATGATGTTATTGATGCTATTGATGAAGCTGCTAAACTCATCTAACATTTAAGTTTAGGTGCATCATTTGTCTAAGTTAAATCAAAGTATGAAACAGTTCACAAGAGACTTACAGACAATACATCACATAGTCAACTCTTATAAGTAAATATATATTCTTATATATTTTTATTATAGCCAGTTGTTGTTGCTCTTACTGAATTAGCTACACATGGAGTTAACTAAAAGGCTTTAACCAAAATTGCTTAATTATTGAGTGAAATTAGATAATAATTAGTATAAGAAAAAGCTGCTAAAACTGNCGAGCAAGTGCTGCAGCTCTAACATACATCCAATCTTAGTCAATTGGTGAGATTTCTTTTCCAAGTCCTGTCTTGACAATTGAACCCCATTCTGGAATTTTAATCTTGTTATTTTTTTTCAAATATTCAGCATAAGCACGAATGAAATCTTATGCAGGTACGTCCTTTTAAATTTAAATAGTTATTCATACTTTCACTGTGAAGAATGGTGTTGACATAAGAAAAATTAAATTATTTTTTGAATATTTGCAAGATTTTAATTGATAAATAAATAAAAGTATTTAATTGAGTATGTTTAAACATACATTTGATATATATAATGAAATACTATTGATAGATAAATAATGAAGAATTAAAAAGGAAAGAATTTGAGGTTAAAAGGATGATTAGAATTTGGAAATAAATATAGAAGGAAGAACAATCATTTGTATTTCAGATTAAAAGTAAAATAAAAATTAATTAATTGATTTGAAATATAATAGATTAATTAATGGCTATGAAATAAAAAGATTAAGTTAATATGAGGATTGATTAGATAGAGATATGGGCATATATTGAAAGAAAGAGAAGAAAAATTGATTAAAATAGAATAAAATAATTAAATAATTTGAAGAGGATATAGAGTTGAGATAAAGGTTATTAGAAAATTGAATTAGAAAGTAGATGATGATAGGATGTTAGTAATATTATAAGAAAATAGGGATAAATATTAATAAATTAATTATATACATAAGCATAAATCGATCCGTTTTTAAAAACATTAAATAAATAAATGCAAAAATTAGCTATCTTGACATTGGTTCTTGCTCTTGCAGCTGCTAAGTTTGTAGATACACATGCAAGCTTGGCTTAAATTGATGCTAATCCATTTGGAAATGTAGTGTTATCAGCAATCAAAGCACACTTGTAAGCTTAAACACCAGCCAATGAAGTTAATATGTTATTGAACGGTGTTGCTGCTGGATTATAATAAGATTAAAATGACCATGACCATGCTTTTGAACTTGATACAACCACAAACAATAGAGTAAGAATAAGACACAATATAATAGATTGTTGAAGATTTAGAAAAGGAAATCTTGTATCACTAAAATCAAATCTCATCAAATACATAATTGAGAGATGACACAATTGAAGCTTTGGCTGTTTCTGAAGAAGATATTAGAGTCGTTATTTAAGACATTGCAACAAATGAATAAACTTATGCTAGAGAAGAAGCTACAAGAAATTAATAACACGAAACCTTTGTTGCTAAGGTTGCTGCTATTGATGATGTTATTGATGCTATTGATGAAGCTGCTAAACTCATCTAACATTTAAGTTTAGGTGCATCATTTGTCTAAGTTAAATCAAAGTATGAAACAGTTCACAAGAGACTTACAGACAATACATCACATAGTCAACTCTTATAAGTAAATATTTATTCTTATATATTTTTATTATAGCCAGTTGTTGTTGCTCTTACTGAATTAGCTACACATGGAGTTAACTAAAAGGCTTTAACCAAAATTGCTTAATTATTGAGTGAAATTAGATAATAATTAGTATAAGAAAAAGCTGCTAAAACTGTATTAAATCATTCTAATTATTAAGGACGTTGAAGAAAGATAAGCTGCTCATTGGGCTGAATTCAGTGTTCATTTGAGTAATGAACATACCAGATTGGTTGAAAGAAAAGCTTAATTAGAAGTCTAAATCTAAGAATAAAAGGATACTATTGAAGATGCTTAATCATGGATCGAATTCCATACCTTAGAATTAGAAAATAGTGAAGAAAGACTTGCTGGATAATAAGCATGGTATGCAGTCTAATCAGAAATCTATGAAACTTAAACTGCTGAAAGGTAATAT